ACATCGGACAATGTACATTTTTAACTTAATATTTTGGGACGTCATTTTATTGTTTTATCACTCCCATTTCGAAAGAAGAATGCAGATTTGTTAAAGTAATGGAGAGTAGTTTTTTCTGTGCACGTGTTACCTGAAGTGTAAGGACGGTACGGACAACGACGTAAGTCACTTTATGAGGGACCGGGGCGGTGGGGTAGCCTAAAGGTTAAAGCGTTCTCTTGTCACCCCGAAGACCCGGGTTCGATTCCCCACATGGGTACAATGTGTGAAGCCCATTTCTGGTGTCCCCCGTCGTGATATTGCTGGCATATTGCTAAAAGCGGTGTACAACTAAATTCACTCACTCACTCACTCTTACCAGGGTAGGGTATTTCACTGTTCCTTTGCGACTGGTTAACACTGTTCATGACCCGAGGGACTGTCATTAGAAGTTACCACAGCCTCTGTGTGTTTTGTGTAAACAAACAAACCGTTAAATATATTGGCATATACCGCCATACACACTCAGCAGTCCCTCAAACAAGCCCTTCAGCCACGAATCACGATTGCGTTTAAAGATCGTTGAATGACATTTTGAAATACCGTCTCACCAAACTGAGATCGCCATATGGGTTTCAAAGGCACTTATCAGCGCATTATGCACAAAATTGAAGTGTGTGGTGAATGTGAATTTTTAAAACGTTCCTAGGTAAATATGCGTGTCGTGTTGAACAGGACATTGCACTTAATACCGAATGAATAATTGCCTGGTTGAAGGTCTTTCCGAGATTTGTAAAACAATTTAGTTTTATTCCTGAAATATATCACTCCTTTGTTGTCTAATGTGCAACCGAATAACATGCACTTTCTGGAAATAGAAGGACGAATGTTTTTGTGGAGGTGTGATTGATTTTATTGTTTACCATAAATGTCGTTTAGGGAACGCAAGGGGGCGATGAGGTAGCCGAGTGGTAAAAGTGTTCGCTCGTCACGCTGAATATCATGGTTCGATTCCTGATATGGGTACAATGTGTGAAGCCCATTTCTGGTGTCCCCCGCCGCGATATTGCTGGAATATTGCTAAAAACGGCGTAAAACCATACTCACTTACTCGCTCGCTCACTAGAGAACGTAAGAAAGATTTTATGGTTTTATTATTTGTGTGTACAATATGCTCAAGAGCTCTTTGGTAAAGTTCGTCGACCTGCGTGCTGCACGTGGAGCAGGTGTTGAGCGTTTTGCACGTGCACGTTAGTCTTTAACGACTCGGATTACAAAATACATGTTCTGGGGCAATTTTATAAGGTTTCGTACAACTGAAACATTTATCAATCACTCACACTAAGTCAACTATTTGCAATTTTACGTGTCCGTCTAAACAAATGTAAACTCTTACAAACACTATGACTAAGTAATATATAATTTCTGAAATGAGTGAGTGAGTGAGTGAGTGAGTGAGTGAGTTGAGTGAGTGAGTGAGTGAGTGAGTGAGTGAGTGAGTGTGTGATTTGTTGCTGCTTTTAGCAATATTCCAGCAATATCACGGCGGGGGACACCAGAAATGGACTTCACACATTGTAACCATGTGAGGAATCGAACCCGGGTCTTAGGCGTGACGAGCGGATGCTTTAACCTCAAGGCGACCCCACCGCCCCCTTACTTGTATGCCAATCTTCGAAAGCAATGCATACTGAATATGCAATCATAAAAAAATCTGTCATGTATGTAGGAGTACCTTCATGAGCAGAACGTTCTTCCTTCAACTGAATTATATGAATCAAGTTGTAGAGTGATACAACCTGGTTCTACTTTCACTTCATGTATTTGGGCCTACAGCCTCTCAATTAACGTCACTGCCCCAGTGGTCATAAAAAAAAGGATTCGTTTTTTATGGTCTATCTTATGTCAAATAAATCCAAACAGTTGCTCATAAAAAAGACCACCCTGTCACCCGTGGCAAAAGCTTAGATGTTTTTGTTGAAAGTGTATATTCGTAAAGCAATCTAAATATTAAACTTATATTTACGGTATCCTATTAAATAAGAAAATACTATCTCACATAAATCAAATATGGATGGATAGTTGTTTGTATTAAAATAGCTCGAGGGTATATTTTGGAAAATTATGTATACATGGATGAGAACAATATATGAGATGTGTCTTATACATGGGTCATATGTGTGTAAAATAGATGCTAATAAGTTTAATTTATTAATAGAATACAAAAGAGCCTTGGGTTAGCTAGCTATCGTTGAAAAACAACATCCAAAAATGTTCTTTGACAGAAGCGAGGTCATGTGTACTGTTGGCCAATATGTACTTTTTCGCAGGTTTCTCGTTCTTTGGGTTGAACATTGTTTAATCCTACAGGTATATATTTAATTCGCTCACAGTATTAGCCAAGAAGAATAAATCTCCCAGTTATAAACGGTAAACAACACTGCAGTGCAAACACACACACACACACACACACACACACACACACACACACACACACGCACGCACGCACGCACACACACACGCACACACGCACGCACGCACACACACGCGCACACACACACCATTGTAATTCAGATGTAGAAGAGTGAGTGAGTTAATGACAGATCACTTATGGCTAGAGGGGATGATAATGATTTTTATGGAGTAGCATGTACAATGTGATCCCCCCCCCTAAAATTTAGGTTGAAAGTAATTGCTCCCTGCCCCATTGTCATGTAAAAAACCAATGACAACAAGCCTAGTACATGTGTAGTAACACCCCACCTCCCCTAAACAAAATCTCTCTCTCTCTCTCTCTCTCTCTCTCTCTCTCTCTCTCTCTCTCTCTCTCTCTCTCTCTCTCTCTCTCTCTCTCTCTCTCTCTCTCTCTCTCTCTCTCTCTCTCTCTCTCTCTCTCTCTCTCTCTCTCTCTCTCTCTCTCTCTCTCTCTCTCTCTCTCTCTCTCTCGTAGTCATACGAGATTTAACTATCTGGGAAGGCGAGGTAGCCTATTAGTTAAAGCGTTCGCTCGTCAGGCCGAAAACCCAGGTTCAATTCCCCACATGGGTACAATATGTGAAACCCATGTCTGGTATCTCCCGCAGTGATATTGCTGGAATATTACTAAAAGCGGCGTAAAACCATACTTACTCCAAACTTAGTAGAAAGTATATATGTTCTAGAAAATTTGGACGTTGTATGACTAAAGTTTGCGGTATGTTCAGGCACGTATGTGTTGTGGTATTTGTAGACTCACTAGAAGAAAATCCCAACTGAACAAAACAGACCATTGTCTTGTGGAGCAGGGAGTGTACCACATGTAATTCGATTATGACGACTTCTCGGTCTTTCAACAAAGGTGTTAACACCCCCTGACATGTACACTTGATTTATAAGGCCGCTATGTCAGAGAGTAGAAACACTGCACAGGGGCCAAGAGGGTCTTCTTAGACAGACACAAAGGAGCGAATGAAGCGTATCTTCAAACACGATTGAAAATCTCAACTTGACATGTTTACGTGGAATTGATTGGCTTTGATCGTGAAATAGTTGGTGTATTGGTCAGAGGAGAATGTCAGCTGTATATAAATCGCGTTTTGTTGAGTGTTATAGGTTAGTCACCCAACACGGTGGATCGCCGGTAAGTTAGCGAGTGAACATGAGTATGTATGTCTATAGTCTATATGTCCCGTTTACAGGAGCTAGTGGGGACATGCTGTGTTAAACCATTCGGCTCTGTTACCTCTCTTTGTCTTTCCGCTTCATATATTTCAGTTTGTGTTTACGTGAATGGCTGTGATCTGAGCTTATTTTATCTCAGGGAATAGATATTGAAGTTCTGTTTAATCAAGTATGCATGAAGGTGTTACATTTAAATGGAGCAAACATTTGAGGTTTAGTGAGGCTGGTGTTTATTAAGTTGTTCTCTATCCAAAATTCCTGAATAGCAGGCGCCCTGCTCGAAGTTGTCACAATGTATTTAGTTAAGGAGTAGTCAGCTGATTGCTGTCTATTGATTAACAATTGATATGCTAGTCTATTCTTTAAAATGTGGTTTTCAAACCAAAGTTCCAAGTGACAAGGTCGGTATGTGAAGTTGTGACCCTGTCCTTTTGTTAGTAGTGTAGTTGTAACTGATCGAAATGCAGTAAACAACGCTTATAACGAACTGACAGATATAGCGAACCGCGACGTTTTTACCGCAACTGCTTGAACTGTGTTTCAGTCGAACTGCGTAGTTATAAGAAAATAGATTAACGGGATCGGGTGGTCAGGCTCGCTGACTTGGTTGACACATGTCATCGTATCTCAGTTGCGTAGAAGGATGCTCATGATGTTGATCACTGGACTGTCTGGTCCAGACTCGATTATTTGCAGACCGCCGTCATATAGCTGTAATATTGCTGAGTGCGGCGTCGAGCTATCTCACTCACTCACCATAAGGAACTAATATTAGTGCCCTTTTGAATTCGATAAATTGGTAGTATACATCGTACACATCGAGTTAACAGACATACAAAGTGGTTATAAAGTCATGTTTCGAGTGGACAATTTTATCATGAGTATTACAAAGAACAGACTGGCGGATCAACACGGTGTACACTGACCCGTTGGGTTAAACGCTGTCTTGGCCAGTACCTCATGAGCTCAGGAGCCCTAACAGACTTACCGCTTCGGTCATCCCCAGGTGCTGACAAAAACAACAACAAAAAGAACATGGTGCAAGTGGTGACAGTGAGCGTCACCTGATATAAACTCTCATGAACCATTTTTACATGAAAAGCCAGAGGTTGATATCGTGAGCGCCGATCCTCGCCGTCGCGGGGATATGAAACGCTATGAAACGAGTCGTCGACCGCCCAATCAGTTCAGTCGTCTTTGGGCCTTTGCTATTCCATCCCCTTACCACACCCCGGAAATACTACATACATATTGGGTCTTGTATCGTTAGATTTGGCATAGTTCGGAAGTGGCCAGTCCTTTTCAAGTTTATCATTTCTGGATGAGGTGCACGCCGTGCTAATTATTGACGTTTATTTCAGGTCAAGGTCACCGACTTCTGACGTCATCATGAGGAAGGAAAACACGTGGAATGTTTCTGTGGCAACAGAACACCCGGATATGACGGAAGAAGCAAAGTGAGTGTCACACGTTTTGTAAAGTCTTCATCTTTGTGTTGTCAACTTTTATTGATTTGATTTTGTTTTAAGGAAACTAAATGAAAAGCACAGCATGTATCTGTTTAGCTAACCTCTTGCAACCCTAAATGTTTCAAAGTTAGGGTTAGACGCTAGGGTGAGTATTAGGGTTAGCGGTCAGGGTCAGAGTTAAAGTCATCCGTCTTAGTAAGGTTAATGTCAGGGTCAGTTTGGGGTCAGAGGGTTAGATGAAATCTGACTGAATTGGCTTTGACTGTGAAGTAACGTCGACGTGGAACCTCTTTTTTGTAACTACCCAAAATGAAAGTTTATTTTTTCATAAAGAGTTAATGGAAGTTTAAACATTATATTTATTCTTCAGTCTGAAAACAACGTACGGGCCAGGAAAAAAAGGAGGTAACTTTGCACTTCCGCTTGGCGCCAAGATTTCAATACCAGATGGAGTATTCAGTAAAAAAGACAGTATCACATGCCAGGTGGCGCCACCTTCCGGGAGATGGCGCCATGTACCAGTGCTGCCCCCTAGTGAGCATATGGCGAGCGAGATATTCATTTTGTCATCCTCGGTACACCCTCTAAAGAAGGCCGTGATTGTTCAGCTGCCATACTACTACGTTGACCTTGAACATAACGAGCTCAATGTCAAGGGCAGATGGAAGGACGAGGCGGAGTGGGTAGACGTTGGCTTCCTCAAGAAGGTAAATACACCCGATGATATTATCACATCAGCAATTTTAAAGGTAACTATTGATCGATGCCCATAGGTTGGGAGGCCTTAAGTATCACGTGACATAAATACGTCACGCTTGAAGTTTCTTTTGAACACATCACATGTGTGACAGCGTCCCTACGTGTAGGTAGACTCAGCAAGGTTCAAACAAGCATGATGATAGAGGTTTCGGTTTGATAAATCAGCGCTTGGAACGAGCTTCCGATTGCTACCTAAAATAGCAGTTCATCCCTCAAGAACTACATTCAATGTGGACTTTTTTCAATATTTATGTCTAATGTGTTGCCATGCATGAAGTTTGGAAAACATTGTTACAATATGATGCGAATAAGAAAACATTCAGATATAAGAGACATTTTTCTTATGGATTTTCATATTTGCAGTTCCGAAATTTATCAACGTTTGCAATTTTTCCTCAAATTGGCAATCACAGTGGTCCATATATACTGCGATATCGACTGAAACACTTTGGTTTTGAAAATAATTTGGGCTAAAGACAATCCCGATTATAGAACGGGCAAGGGTAGTATATTCCACGATATGTGCAGTGTATATAAACCACATTGTGTCACCTTCAAGGAGGACAGCAGCATGCCGTCTGTGGAGCTGGAGATCGCCCGTCTGGGAGTGTTTGTGGTCACCTTCACCCCCAAGAGAGAGATGTTCCCGGTGTCCCCACAGGGGTGTCTGTACAACGCCAGGCTCAGCAGACACATCAGCGTCAGGTTCCCCAAGAAGTCCATCGACACCAGCATGCATTGTTCCATACAGGTAAGATAAGGGGTTTCAGAAGAGGAGACATTTTCTTGCGCCTAGTACCCGTGAAGATCCAGATTAGAAGTGGTCTTCAGTACACCATGCTTGTCTCCATCCGTGAAGATCCGGGTTAGAATTGGTCTTCAGTAATCCATGCTTGTCGTAAGAGGCGACTAACGGGATCGGTGGTCAGGCTCGCTAACTTGGTTGACACATTTCATCGCATCCCAATTGCGTAGATCGATGCTCATGTTGTTGATCACTGGATTGTCTGGTCCAGACTCGATTATTTACAGACCGCCGCCATATAGCTGGAATACTGCTGAGTGCAGCGTTAAACAACAAACCAACCAACCAATCCACATTGCGCCGAGTACTTGTTGTATTGAGTTCCTGTAAAGCTAGGGTGGTAGTGCCGGGTTATAATAGGTTATAAAATGCTTGTGTGTTAACACTTTGACGTCCTGTGCTATATTTCAACACTTGAAAGGGGCAGTGGTGTAGCCTCGTGGTTAAACCGTTCATTCGTTACGCCGATGGTGTGGCTATAATGCGTGAAGCCCATTTCTTGTGTGTCACGCTGGCATATTGCTGAAAGCGGCGTAAAACCATACTCACTTACTTGATCCACAAGATCTGAGAAGGACAGTGCTGGATGGATGTCCCAAATAAAACATGGTGTTTCTATCAAGCTGCGAAATAATACACGTTTTAAGCTTCTATTTTGTACAGAATAATTTTACATATAATGAGGATGACCTTGACTTTGAATGCCAATTCAATCCTGGAATACGTCGTTTCATGAACCTCTGGTCGTGGTATGTCACCGGCGATACTTTCCCCATAAAATGAAGAAACCTCATTCTTTAGATGATAAACGTCATATACGTTTCTTAGTGATTGTCTTCAAATGAATGTATATTTGGCAGGGATTTAAACTTACCAATGTAGACATGTAAACCCTTTTTTAACACCATGTGAGGTATTTCACAGCGTCTCAGCATGGTGTGGGATAAAATCCTAAACACATGCCACTTGGTGTGTTGACAAACCTGCTGATGTAGGACTCGGGATCAATGCCCACAATCATGGGTTTTCTGCCACCCGTACGGTACATAACTAAACACTTGCCACTTGGTGTGTTGACAAGGCTACAGACTGTAGTCGGTGACGACTACATCGTTGTACCTATACTATCGAAGGTTTAAAACACTCACTATATGTTATGTTTATGCATATGGATACATCGAAGATGAATTTCTCCACAAACTTTTGGGGAACCAACTGCAAACCTTATGCAGATGAACTGCACGAGGATTATGCATCAAATTGCTGAAAAGCATGTGCAAATATCGTGCATGTGAACAGCTGCGTTTTGGTGCAATTTTTGTTTTAAGAATTCGCCAGATTGCACTGAGTTTCATCATTTATTTAACTCATGACAATAATCTTTTCAACGTTACGAATTTGTTTTACAATACATCAGTTCATGTGTATTCAGTACCTTTAAACAGTATGGAATATTTTGCAAAATTCAGTTTAGAACAGTTGACTGAAGTAAATGGCTACATTGAGACTAGTGAGTCAAAGCTTTTGATTGGTAGTATATAATTATATGTAGGACCACCATAATTTGTATGCAGTAACAAACGCAGATGTGGCTTTTTTACGATACTTATCCCATGTTCCAGATAACCCCGATACCATCTGACAAATTAGCATTCTCTAAGCAATTTCCCCATGGACTGTGGAGAGCTTTTGAGAGCGACAGAATTCGTAGACATCACGACCACAATTCCGTGCAACTTCCGGCGGCCAGTGACAGTTAAACTTCCGCTTCCGGCTGGTGGCGAGGTCGAGAATGACAGCGGTACCGACATCGCCGTGGTTGTCAAGACGGACGAGGGCTGGAGCGTTGTCGACAGCAACTATAAGTTCTCCCGAACAACCGTCACTTGTGATGTGAAAACACTGTCAAGGTGAGTGATAGTATGCAGGGAGAATACAATGTGTGAGTGAGTGAGGCAGTTGGGTTTTAATCCACTTGAATTATTCCAACAAAGAATGACCCTAAATATGAAAAGTAATCATCAGCGACCTCTTCCGTTAAACACTATCCTGAAATAGGCAAGCCGTTTTCATTGGAAAAGAAATCGTTTATATTTTCGCTTTGCAAAACCGCTGACAATATGCCCCCTCTCACTTGCTCGGGTTGTACATAAGAAAACAAACAATGTGTGCAATTACGGGGTCTTTTGGGAATAAAACCAGGCATGATAATAAAAGGGCATGATTTGGTGTAACAGACAAATGAAAAAATAAAACCACAATGGTCCTCATTTGTACATATAAGTGTAGTGTAGCGCTACAAATGGTAATACATGTATAATATATATATATATATATATATATATACTCATGGTAACGAAAAAGGGAACACATGAAAGTACAAGTGTTCCTTTATTCTTTTCCAGGTTTCTTCACAAGCTTTGCATTGGGCTTTGCACTGTGGGTGAAATTCTGGAAAAGAATAATGAACACTTGTACTTTCATGTGATCCCTTATTTGTTTCCATGAGTATACAATTTTGGACTTGTACATATTGGTGACCTGTATTATTTACATTTGTATGGAGTGTCAAGGGAAAACTGCCATCTCATACTCGTCTAACAATGTCTTTTCAATATTATATTTTCAGATTCTGTGTTTGCCAGTCTAAACCAGACCGGAAACAGAAAATGAAGGATGCGATACCGATTTTGGATGGCCGCAGTAACAAGGAAAAAGGGGAGGTAACCATGTTCTTGTCTCTAAAGGAGAAATCATGGATGGGTGTTATAGAATGTTTCCCGGAATTCAAAACCGAGGTGAGAACAAACGCCCGATCGTCGGTCGGATTCCGACATGTAGTGAAACAAGAAGCTCCCAAAGAAACAGAACAGCGGTTTACCTCCCGGAGGCGACCACCGCCGCCGAAACAAGTCAAAGAAAAGGAGATAGACGGATTTGAGATCTACGATGGGTGTAAATGGGAAATCGAAGTGAGCGGAGATATAAAAGTGAGCGGAGATAGTGACTATTTCGATAATAACCAGTTGCAATTCTTTAGAAACTTACCCGAGAGTTATAGAAGGTTTGTTCTCGAACCTCGAACTAACGAAGAGCGGGCCTTACAGGGTGTTATAAACTTAGTACCTGTTGGTGTAGAGGAACAGAATGCCAGGGAACGTTTGTCCTTCACATTCAAATTTGAAGTGGATGAGGAAAAGGTCAAGGCCTATTTCAAACCAGATGACCCGGAACCGGAACCTGAGCCAGAGAAACCAACTGTTACCTTTGACCTTCCGTTGGAACCAATCAAAGAAGAGCGACCCCCTCCTCCAGTGAAAGTGCGAACGTTCTCGGCCAGTGCTCTCGAGAGATTGACGCGACCAATCCGACCCAACAAGATCCGTAAGTTTTTCTTCTTTGTTTATGAACAGTCTTTAATGTTACTGATTATCCACAAGTCAGATCTAATGATAAATGAATGAAGGAATAAGAGAGTGAGTGTGAATTCTCTAAGGGTATTCTGGCAACAAGAACCGGATCTCGATCCACAAAACGTTGGTACCGTTACGACCTGTCGTAACTCTATAGTTTAACATAGGCTTACGAATGTCGTAGCGCTACGAACGTTTTGTGGATCGGGACACAGGTCTCGCGTTGTTTCGTTCAAGCCGACTGCTGCAGTTTTGTGCCTTTTAGCGCCACACTAAACAATATTTCTGCTCATGAGAGTGGTCTGTAAATAATCGAGTCCTAAGAAGACATGAAAGGGGGTTGATAGCATGAACATCGATCTACACAATTTGGATACGACGAGATCCATCAACTAAGGGAGCGAGGCATTCACACGGTCCCGTTAATGTGTCGCCTTTGACGACATGCATGGACTTACTGAAGACCTGGGCCTAGATTTTCAAAGCTCTCTTAGCGCTAAGATAGCCGTAAGTGCCATACATTAACATTGACTTACGACTATCTTAGGGCTAAGAGAGCTTCGAAAATCTAGGCCCGGGGGCGTGAGGTAGCCTAAAGGTTAAAGCGTTCGCTCGTCACGCCGAAGACCCGGGTTCGATTCCCCACATGGGTACAATGTGTGAAGCCCATTTCTGGTGTCTCCCGCCATGATATTGCAGGGATATTGCTAAAAGCGGCGTAAAACTAAACTCACTGTTGGTCATCCTGTCCCAAATGTGTGGATCTTTCGCTGGTACCCTTCAATATTTACATGTTGTGCAAGATGAAAGTTCATCTTACCACATCCTGCAATCGATAACTCATATTGATTTCATTTGGAAGAATAAAAAAATACATCTAAAGCGCACCAATAAATGCCCATGTTCATGTACTTACAGCTGAGAAGGAATCACGTGTCCTGACCGGAAGAAGCTTGATGAACATCGCACGTGTTGTCCCGGAAGGACTTACCCTGGCCGTTCACCTTGACCTTCCGGACAGCACAATCACAGGCCTGGGGTTCGACGCCATCAGTAACGGCCTAGGCATGGCCGACGTCACATACAAAATTTTACTTTACTGGAAGCGACGCCTAAAAGACAAGCGTAACGGCGCAGTGGCGGAGTTGACGGAAGCTCTTCGCGACATGGGAAGATCCGAAGTTGCAGACACAGTTCAGGAGATGCACGACAAGAACAAGGAAATAGGCCCAGACTGCTTCCACCTCATCATGCAGTGACGTCATTAAGGGGAGATAATCCAGTAGTAGTCATACAGGGTCTTTAGTTATTTATGTCATGGATTCAGCAAAACGGGGACCTTTAAGTCAGAGTTTGGCATTGTGGGTCATTTGCGAATGTTCCAGACTGGACTTTGACTTCGGAATGACGTCATCAGAAAGGGGAGATAATCAGCTGTTCATCGCTTCGTATACACAAGAACGATTGTAGCATTGGTGTTGAAGTTTGCAAAATGTATTCAGCTTCAGTACCACTCTGCTCTCTTAATTTAGGGACAGTTTAGACTAGTTGATTATCCAATTCTCGAGACTTCGAAAGGATGCACGACCGCTGCCGCTGAAGCCGTGTTAATACTGCTGCTGTGTGACATGTTGAATCAGACTCATAGATCTACTAACGGAAAGTCAGAGTATTTCACGGTACGCTTCCATTGTGACGTTACATACAGATAATCATAAACACTGTCTCGATGGTGTGGATCCGGAGGAGTGTTTTCAGGAATTGATTGGCTGGATGTTTCATATTGTCTGAAGTTTCTGTGATCAAATTTTAATGTGTCGTGAAAATTACAGATATATCTTGTCAGTACAGAATTGTTTTGATTGAAAGCATCACCAAAGAATGTCCAGGCGATGCAATACCGCTTGCTGCCTCTCTTGTGTCAGGTATTCAAATTCATGTACACGTACATTGTTTGACAGGGGTCGTTTTCCATTATGGATATAAATTTATTTAGTCAGCTCTTATGAGGAGCGGGGCGGTGGGGTAGCCTAGTGGTAAAAGCGTTCGGTCGTCACGCTGAAGACCCGGGTTCGATTCCCCACATGGGGATAATGTGTGAAGCTCTTTTCTGGTGTCCCCCGCCGTGATATTGCTGGAATATTGCTACAACGGCGTAAAGCTAATCACTGCTTCGCATGTATTCTGCGTGTATTCAACCGCACGTCATTACAGTCACAAAACACGGTATCAGCACAGTCATATGACATTTGGTGTTAAAAAATACGTCATTTTATCGCATGCTCACGTGGATGGGTAGCCAAGTGGGCCAGGCGTTCGCTCGCCACAGCGAATGGGCATGTTCGATTCCTCACTTGAATCTAATTTTGGGAGTCTATTTCTGTTGTCCGCCGTGACAATATTGCTAAGACCAGCGTAAAACCGTAATCACCTGACGTGACCTTGGGGTTATCACCTATATGTACGATTATACGTTGGTCAGTCTTTGTGATAAACTGACATGTTTTATTGATATGCTTGTGATATATGTATCTTTCTGTGATAATACTTTGAAAAGATCATTTCTCGTTACGAATTTTATGCTGGCTCAGGTCAATCATAGTTTCTTGCAGTAAGCAGATTGCGTTCCGACGGATGGTCTTCAAATTGATCATGGTTCGTTGCTACAATCCTACAATATTCTGAGTTCGAATCCACTCATCCGTACTGGATATCGTCCTTGGTTTGCCACCTCCACAACTGTGCTAGTGGTGGCACCTAAGTGGAAAGCTTCAAGGACATTTTGGTCTTTCGTCCAGCAAGTTGTTTGGCCCTGATCGAGCTGAAACTCTACTGAAAGTGGCGTCAAACCAGTGTGTAAGCTGGCATACCGCCGTTTGGTAATTACATCTCTTGATATGGTACGTACGTACCATCACAAATAGTATTTTAAAGAGGAGCCCATATCGAGCGGTACATCATCATGTATGTAGATAGTGCATTGTCCCCAAATCGACCAGAAAACATTTGAGTCCAGGAAACATGTTCATATCAACGGGTTAAGTTAATATTTTCATGAAACAGTACTGTATTTTCTTGTACTTACTTCAAAACTATGATAGACCGCGAATAAAATTATATTTTTACAAACCAGTACGACGTTGGGTTATAAATATAAACATACTTCAGTTTTAAAATATTGTAGGCGTACTTGTCACACTGTCGATTTGAGAAATCTGGACAGCTGTAGGTCCGCTACATGAGAAGTGAGTGAGTTGAGTTTTACGTCGCACTCAGCAATATTCCAGGTATATGGCGGCGGTCTGTAAATAATCGGGACTGGACAAGACGATTCATGCAGTGATCAGCATCATGAGAATTGATCTACTCAATTGGTATACGATGACATGTCAACCAAGTCAGCGAGCCTGACCACCCGATCCCGTTAGTCTCTATGAGAAATATTGGTGACAGATGCTATTCACAAGCAGAATTACCGTCCTTAGTTCGACCAGGATCTGCTGATTAATGTACCTGTAGCACTGTATCAACCTCACTAAGTCTTAGTTGACAAGCACGTTAGGATTCGAGACACGAGGTGGTTCCAGTTGTCTCTGGTGCCGAAGTTCGCACTGCAGAGTTGCGCACCTTGGGAAGGCAGGAGCCTGTAATTGTGGGATCGAGTCCCGGTTCGCTCTGATTGTTTATAAGCATTGCAGGGTCATACCCGTATCATCAAAATGGTAAACCTGTATCCCTTTGGAGTTTCTTCACACAAACTTCCCTGCTAGAACTGGAACAATGTTCGGAGTTCAACCTCGTTCCCTCACCCTCGTATGTGGCAGCCATGTTCCTTCGACCTTGCGTCAATGTTGCCTCACCTCCTCACGCAGAGGTGAGGTGAGGTGAGGTGAAATTGGGTTTAACGTCGTGCTTGAGAATATTTCGCTCATATGACGACGTGCATGCGTGTGTATGTGTATGTGCGACTGCTTGTACTAGCCCAGACTTAAGCTGTTTTTTTATAGTGCTAGCTTACTGAGATACCATGCCGCAGTGAAGCATGACAGACGGTGGGATAGCCTAGTGGTTGAAGCGTTCGCTCGTCACACCGAAAACCCGGGGTTCACTCCCTACGTGGGTACAATGTGTGAAGCCCATGTCTGGCGTCCCCCGCCATGAAATTTCTGGAATATTGCTAAAAGCGAGTTAAAATACACTCATTCACTCACACAGGCAGACAGTGTGTTGTTATGAATACCGTTCAAGACAATGCTTCCCTCAGGTTTAAATCGAGAAGCCAGACATCAAGACGGCACTAATTGGTATTGTCACACGGCGTTTCTTTCCCAAAGTTTTAAATGTTTAAAGAATTCCAAACCAAATCGATGCAACATTATGGTGTTCAAAACACCCGAGATGTCCACTCAACTAAGACAATGTGTACATTCGTCAATCGCGGGGCAGTGGGGTAGCCTAATGGTTAAAGCGTTGGCTCGTCACGCCGAAGACACGGGTTCGAATCCCCACATGGGCACAATGTGTGAAGCCCATTTCTGGTGTCCCCCGCCGTGATGTTGCTGGAATATTGCTAAAAGCGGCGTAAAACCAAACTCAGTCAGTCGTCAATCGCTTTCCTGTGATACCCCTCAGTGTACCCCAGCATCGTCCATATAAAGTTATCAACTATTCCTTATCCTTTTTAATATCATGTATAAGTTTTAAAAGTTTGGGGGTGTATTGAGGTAAATCCATATAAACAAAATACACAGAAGAGTACATACGAATGGTCTAGTGAGACGTTAGCTGGAGGAAGGGAGACAACTCTTCTTCATTTCAACAAGATATCTTCTTTCGCCATGTCCTCAAATAAACACCGGGAATATCACACAATCTGGAATCTCTGTTAAATCATATGACCCTCTCATGAATGCGTACACCTCATTTAATTTTCAGCAACAATTCAGTGTTTAAAATTAGTGACATAAAAAAACTGTTAACTGAAACTTCTTTTTAAAAAACAGTACTGGCTAGCGACCAGTTATCGCCAACATTTGACTGTAGCGCTTGCACAGACAGCTTGATTTTAACTCTCGTAGCCTATCGCTTTTGTGATGTGTCAATGTGTGAAATACTACGGAAGTACAAGTCAAGCTGTCTTCTCAGGCGCTACAGCCAGGTGTTGGCGATAACTGGTCGCTAGCCAGTACAGTATGAACAAAATCAGCCGTTCAGATGAGTTCAAAACAAAACATCTCTTAGAGATTCTATGCTAGATGCACCTCAAACTTCACTGGGAACGTGATAATATTGACTGGTTCAGTTACTTGGTTGCTTGTGCTCACAATATCAATCACTGGATTTTCTGGATCAATTCTTCAATTACAAGTCAACATAATATTCCTGAAACGTTTATAAGTGTTTTGTTAAACACGACGGTGATGATCTGGGTTGGAACTGATCTTCAGTAACCCATGCTTGTCGTAACAGGCGACTAACGCGAGTGAGTGAATACGGTTTTACACTGCTTTTTGCCATATTCCAGCGATATCACGGCAGGGGGCACCAGAAATGGGCTTCAGACTTTATACCCATGTTGGGAATCGAACCCGGGCCTTCGAAGTGAGGAGTGAGCGCTTAGCCACTAGGCTACCTCACCGCCCCAGGGGACTAACGAAAGGGTGGTCAGACTCTCTGACTTGGTTGACACATGTCATCGGTTCCCAATAGCGTAGATCAATGCTCATGCTCTTGATCACTGGATTGTCTGGCCCAGACTTGATTATTTACAGACCACTGCCATATAGCTGGAATATTGCTGAGTGCGGCGTTAAACAATAAACCAACAAACACATTACTTGAAAACAAATCAAACACACCACTTTACGTCATCAATTTGTTTATTCAGTCGTATATTTTCAGCGTGTGTGTTTGTGTAATATGGAGAAAAACTAGTCAAAGATTGTGATCAATGTGTACATATATTCATAATACATAATATTTATTCAAATATATATGCGTAAAATACATGAATATAACAAACTAAAATAGTTCATACAAATATAGGTGTCATTCATGATAAAGGATTAATCGTTGCAATAAATATTACAATATTATGGGACTAGCTGAACACGTTACTTACAAACAATTGGACAACTCTCAAAGAGCAACCAGATCACTCTCAAAGTGGAACCTGATTATTGTGGAACCTGATTATTCAGGATCCTGTTAAACTGCACACTCACCTTCCCTACACTAATAATTATTTACAAAATGTAACACACATTTTATTTAGGATTACACTTCCTCAGTAAAGTACAGATTCTAGTACTTTTGTTGTGTTGAGTCCCATCCGGGATTCAAACCCACACCCTCAGAGTCAGGCACGTGATCGCCAGCACACAAAGTCAGCCATCTAACCCACTCAGCCACCGTGGTTTCCACAGGAATGGAAGTCGGAGAGCTGGTAGTCTGGACCACAGACTGTGTACTGATTCAGAGGATGTGGGTTTGAATCACGGATGGGACTCAACCCCACAAAAGTCTTGAATCTGTACTTTTCTAAGAATGTGTAATCTCAGATATTATATATGTTACATTTGATCACTTTCTAAATGACATTGTGTATTTATTTACAAAATGTCTAGATATGTCAGTTATTTTATGAATTGCCTGAAAGAATCCATTTCATTAATCACATATCAACATGTCAGGATTAAGGGTTTTATCTATATTTTACATCCACCTGTAATTTTGTAAATTGGTAACTTCTGCTACACTAATTTTACAGTTTCAGTGAAATAATTTTTTGCTATAAGAAAGGTAGATAGGAATTTTGAAGAAAATAAGTTCTTTTGTCAAGACAAATTTACAATACCACACATATAACAGCATAAGTTCAAACAAAGATATTCAATATAATCTTGTACAATTTTGTCTTTTAACTTTTTCATATTCCAGATCATGCTTATCCATAAATAATTAACACAACGGCTTGCGAGAAAGAGCAATAAGTTTTATATAAAATTTCATAGAATGGAAAATTTTGAAGGAAGACATACATTCAGTATGTATTAAGTTTGTATAACCTGGTACCCCATTTCGATCTTGATCCATATGGTGTACATTTAGTAATGGGTGGTTCTGAGACAGTCACTGTGTGCCTACCAGAATCATTTGGGTAGGATTATGTTGGTGGAATTCAAACTTGGCTGGAATTAAATCTTCACTACACACACTGGCCAGTCTTATTTTCTATGTACATCAAGCCTGGTTCAATTTTAAATTTCAGTCCTGTTAAAAAGAAAAACAAGAAATGCATCATGTCTCACCATAGATTGCAGCTTTTTCCCTCCACCAATTTCTAAATGGCCACTGAGACAGAAATAGAAGACAAACAGATTTTCCGCCTATGGCTAACTACTCTCAACAGGATAATTAAGCCACATGCACATAAACAACTCAAATGAAATGGAAGCAACGATGTTACACCAAACAACATAAAAACAGCAAAATGTCGATATTTGACTTGCGTGCAGAATCGTACAAAGCTCAAATGCTGGTTTGAAACCTACAGCAAAGGCCACAGTTACTTATTACATTTTCATTAAAACTGTAAAATGAGGAGAGTGTTTCATTTTACAACTTCATTTTTTGAACAAACTGTTCAAGGCATCTGTGGAAATCAACTGTAAACAGATGCTACTGACATGAAGGATGAATATTTTGGATGACTACAGATCTATTTCAGCAACTGAGGATTAAATGGATCATAACTTCAGTCATCTAATAACATGCGTGTTGTCGGGTAGTGAGACGAGTTGGGAAGGAAATCTTACAATGTATTGTCATGTTATTAAGTTCATATGATAAAATGATCCCGAACCACAAAGTGTGTACTTTCTTTTGTATATCAGTATACTAAAGTAGTTCAGTTGACCTGAGGCAAAGTACTGGAGTAGTGAGTGAGTGAGTTGGGTTTTATGCCGCCTTTAGCAATATTCCAGCAATATTCCGGCGAGGAACACCAGATATGGTCTTCACATATTGTGCCCATGTGGGGAATCGAACCTGGGTCTTCAGCGTGACGAGTGAACGAACGCTTTAACCACTAGGCTACCCCACCACCCTGTACAGGAGTAACAGACAGGATCTGGACATACAGTTTTTCAACGAACTGACTGACTGACTGAGTTTGGTTTTACGCCGCTTTTAGCAATATTCCAGCAACATCACGGCAGGGGACACCAGAAATGGGCTTCAAACATTGTACCCGATGTGGGGATTCGAACCCGGGTCTTCAACGTGACAAGCCAACGCTTTAACCACTAGGCTACCCCACCGCCCCTCCAACGAACTGATGTCAGTTTGATGGGTTATTTATCATTGTGTAAAAACTGTTTCATGTATGAGGAAGATCTGAATTATTGGTTGCTGTTACAACAAAATCCACACACAGCAAGCTGCCGAGAAACTAAACCAAGTCAAATCTAGGATCAGAACACATGAGAACCTGATCATGTCATGTTGAAGGGACATAACTCTGCACAGCAATTGATATCTGGACCTCTCTGGCCCAATAGAAACTGAATTTTCTTTGCTATGCTAAACATCCATTTCATTCTACTGGGGTACTAAGTAGAGGAATGGAAGACATGCACTGACCTTTAAGGATTCATGTGATTTGGGGTCAGTTAAGTTTGTGCATTGCTTAAATCGTCCGGATTCATACGGGTTTATAGCACCATTAACAGGTAAACAAGAGGCACATCACAGAGGACAGACATAGGGTACTGGAAAGGACACATCGGACAGGACACCCTACAGGGGACAGATGTAGGACAGACATCAGAGAGGACAAAGGACAGACACATCAGAGAGGACAGACATAGGGTACTGGAAAGGACACATCGGACAGGACACACTACAGGGGACAGATGCAGTACAGACAAAGGACAGACACATCAGAGAGGACAAAGGACAGACACATCAGGGAGGACAGACAAAGTACAGACAAACTAGAGAGGACAAAGGACAGACACATCAGGGAGGACAAAGGACAGACACCAGAGAGGACAAAGGACATACACACCAGGGAGGACAGACACCAGAGAGGACAAAGGACAGACACGCCAGAGGGGACAAAGGACAGACACACCAGGTAGTCAAAGGACAGACACATCAGGGTGGACAGACACACAATACAGGGTAGACATCAGACAAGACAACGCTTAGGCCTGACATATGACAGACATCGGATAGGACACAAAACAGAAGACAGACGTGGAACAGGACCCATCAGAGAGGACATGCCCCTGAGGACAGACACACTAGAGAGGACAGATATAAGGACAGACTCACCACAGAGGAGAGACATAGGTCAGATATACTGGGGAGGATGCACAACAGAGGACAAACATGAAATCAAAGAAATTTCCTTGACTAGACCAGTCACATCTATTTACCTCTTTCTGTTGAGCTGACAAAACTTCCTCAAACTGAACTCTTCAAGAGTTCTCTTTTAAAAACCCCACCTCTTTGAGTTGTCTTTTAACAGAACCTGTTAACATTGTTAAAATGTATTTTTGCTTTTTCCTGAACTCCTGGCTTTTTAACCAAAAACATAAAATTGTACACTGTTCCGGCCTAATCCATGAAAGACATTTAGGTGCAATTTCACTTTTTTGAAAATTCAAGATTCTAATTTTAACAATCAAGGTTGTAACTAAAAATGTATAATTATAGCTCTATGGCTTTCATACAGATACTGCCTTGAAGACAAAGATCCACAATCTCACATAATCATGTACTGTAGTTGATGAAGAAATATGTTTGTGTCAACAACATCCATTAAATTGAAAATGCCATATAAACATTAAATACACATTATTTTCAATGCACATTTCCGGGTTCATGTTGGAAGCTCAAGAAGGACATTTGGTATTATGCATACTTATCATTCATAATCAAATGGAGACAATAACCATGAAATATTGTTAAAATATATATATTAAAAGACATAAGCATCAAGAAAACATCATAAAGTAGGTCAAGGAAATCATTTTCTTATAATAATTCAAACAATTTTACTTCTTACCCAATGAAATGAAAATGTCATAGGAAACAGAATTCTTAGAAAATTCTCCAGAATACCAGTCTAAGTAAACTTAGGCTCAGTATTATTCGTTACACTGCTATACTGAGTTTAACAAAACCTAGTAGAAGCATCATCAAAGTCATATCTAATACCAATGTTACACAAAGAAGATGTATCACGATACGTATCAGTACATAGGAAGATGTATCGTGACACTACCAATGATGATACGCTTTGTACACAACATGATACAGAACTAATGACCTTGACCTACATTCAAGGTCATCTCAGGCAATTCAAACAAGGCTGTATTTAATTATTATCAGTAACAGTGTGACCAGTTTCAAACATGTTAAACACCGGATATATACTCGACACACTGGAACCATGTCGGGATTCAAACCAGGTCATCAGTGTCAAGAGCAAATTCTTTAAACAATACACCATCCACTGGCCTCAGATTCCTAAAAAAACTAACATTGTTCTCCCTTCCAGAGAAAACAAATGATATGCTTCCAAGTACGGACTGGAAAGATTAAGCACCTTGTGTAAGATCAATAATGTACATGACATTCCATATCCTCTTGTGTATATTAAAGATAATTCACACAAAACTACAGGGTACAATATTTCCTTGTAACTATCATCGCGTGAAATTTACTTTCATTCTGATACTTTCAACTGATACAAAGTCAAAACCACTTGATCTCTGACGGCACATACAAATATAACAATCTGTAAATGGAGTACTAGAGAGCCCTAGAGCGGAGTCAACCTAGATTCATGTCTAAAAGTCTATTTACCAGATTCAGGGAGAAAGACATGACAATTTACTCACCACTCTGGACAAAGATTGTATCTCGTATGATTTGAAAAAAGCAAACTAAAATTCATTTATCAATAAATGTATAATTAGGGCAAGAATTGCTATTTTTAGATGTCATATTTATTTAATGCTCTAGTGTTAGGAAGACATTGTAGGTCAAGGTCGTGGGATGACCTTGTTCCTGAAAATTGCCATTTTTATTTTGATACTGTCCCTTGTGCACAGAGTGGACAGAAGAGAAGTTTTGTGCAAAAAGCACAGTAAACAACAAACAATGATAACAACGTCCAGTCTAGCTGGAACAACGTTCAGTAGAACATGAATAGAAGAAACATGGAGAGATTGAACAGTACGACGACCTATTGGGAAATGCCGGATCTATCTGTGTATTATCATATAAAGGTATGAATACTACAAACTCTAAACAGGAAACTCATTTCTGACAATCGACAAACTCAAATAATTCGAGACATATTTGAATGAACATTGTGATTCCCTTGCATATTTGGTGATTTGAACCGTATTTATTTCATTATTTGTCATTGCATATTCACAAATTCTTTAAAATATAGAATTTGTTCTTGAATTTGTCTGATAGTTATCAAAACAAGATAAAAGGCAGTACAGATTGTAGATCTTTCTTGCCATCTGGGATTTGGACCCACCTCTCAGATTAAACAAGTTAATCTCCAGATCATGAACACAATGTATTCTCACCTGTAATTAGACTAATAGTCTTGTCTGTAAAATAAATATGAATTTCCTGAGATTGTCAATGTGTCAGATGACTTGTAAAGTATACCAAACAACATATAACAATCTACAATCTAACATTCTGTCAGTAGAGGTCTGTTATATCCATGTTCTACGGTCGTTATAACATATATCAAACATTTTGAAAAATGTAAATGGTTTTCATTTCCTTCAATATATATACAAGTTCAAAACTAATGTGAAAAACCACAGTTATTCTTTGTGTTGAAATAACACAAGCTGTTCACAATAGGGATGGCTAAAGTTATGGAAGCACATGTAAAGGCCAAGTACCAAAATGACTATGACACCCGAGAAATGTAACCCATGAGAAATGAAAACGGCAAACCAAGCTAACTATCCCCCAGAAAATGTGCAACATTGTGAGGCAGCATCAAAAATAATTTCTGAATACCAATATCAATTAATCAATAAACTGATTAATAAGTTTCAAGTTACAACATGAGAGATGCCAACCCTGAATCAAATGAAAGCGGAGTCATGCCCTGCTAAAAGCAATTCCCGAGCCCTGAAGGTGCTAGTTGGGGGTGAGTGTGAGAGGGGGCTCCGGCCCGTTTTGATGGTGGGGGTCTTGGGGCCTCCCCATGAAATTCTTTGGGTACTAAACCAGATAATACTTAACCGAACATACAGTTTGATCGTAATAAATTCAACTTATCGGGGTATGTCTTGGGGCCTCCCCTATTCTTTAGATTTATCCTGGAAATATGCAATTTCTGGGCATACTAAACCAGATAATACTTATGTATACCTGTTGTTTGAATCTCATGGGACCAAATAAACATATGTAAACAGCTATTTACTAAAATTCTTTCAAACATTCTATATTTATAAACATATTTGTATTTTCAAAAAAATCGGAGTTTTTATAGACAATTGGAAAGTGGATTTTGTATTTGAAAATCAGAGTGGTTGGCATCTCTGCAACATGAGACAGACATATTTTGACATCAGTGACCATAATTTTGTGACTATCTTTCATAAATAAATAGAATTTCTGATATATTTCCCAATAAACATTTTCCAAGTTCATATTGTGGGGTTCACTGTCCACATGAGAAATATTAAATACTATCATGATCTAAAAAAAATTGTTTAACATTGTGTCGTAAATTACTTGCAAACAGACCGTTACCAGGATTTGATCATTTTTGGTCACCATTATTGCTTAGACACCTGACATAATGATAACAGTGAAAGACTCTTTGAAAACAAATTATGTTTACCATATTTTGGAATCCATTATTTAACATAAAAAAAAGTTGTTTCGATGTAAAAAGGACCTGGATAAATATCTTTTAGTTACTTGTGTTTTAAACAGTTAAATCTGTTTAAGAACAAACTATATAGAACACCTTAGCCACAGGTATTCATAAATCTTAATTAATTTGTAAATCCTAATTTGATTGTTGCCAATGCACCTTCTTTAAAAACATTCAGCAGAAACTTAGGAAATCTGCCTTAAATTTCACTTGGAATTGATGAAATACAATAATCCCTTGTATTTAAAGAAAATAATTCAATATTTGCCCGCATATGTGAAGACTTGACATTATTCAATAGTTTTTAGTGGTTGTCATCTGTTTATAAGATTCCCTGTATCTGAGTTGTCTCCCCTTGGTCGACCTCGACATTTGCGGACCTGGTACTGTATGACCATGACGAGCAGAGGCGTGACACAGAGGAAACACACTCCTGCCATTACATAGGCCACCACCATCAGGCTGCCGTTCTTTTGGTCTGGCTTCTTGTATGCACACTGGTTCATCAGATGCTTATCTGAAATATACACAAGGTGAAGGTTAATCAAGACCTCAGTCCGTCTCCAAGAGCGAGTGAGTTTTAGTTTCATGACACTTTTAGCAATATTCCAGCAATATCATGGCAGGTGACACCCGAAATTGGCTTCACACATTGTACCCATGTGGGGAATCGAACCCGGTCTTCGGTGTGACGAGTGAAGGCTACCACTAGGCTACCCCACCAGCCTGTCTCCAAGACCCAAGAGCATAATTTAGATATGAGTCCTACTCAAGTCCAGAATGATTTCGCAAGTCTGGACTTATTCCAGTAATATTCCAGTTATATGGCAGCGGTCTGTAAATAATCGAGTCTGGACCAGACAATCCAGTGATCAACAGCATGAGCATCGATCTGCGCAATTGGAATCGATGACATGTGTCAACCAAGCCAGCGAGCCTGACCACCCAATCCCGTTAGTCGCCTCTTACGACAAGCATGGGTCACTGAAAGTACATACTAACCCGGACCTTCACAGGTTTTGATTGAAGAGATTCCCAGTCGCATCATAAGATGTCAAAAGAAGGTACCTTTCATTACCAAGTCTGGAGCAAACTTTCAGACCTGATTCACCAATCAAACCCATAAACTAGCCCATAATTATAGGCCAAATTAAATTCACATTAACAGAAAACCCTCTGTTGATGTTCTCAAGGAAGATATTTATCTTTTGCAAATCTCTGAGTGCATGCAATAATCCTGAATGAATCACACCATTGCTCTCCATTTGACCACAACTCTAGTCTGTCACACAGAACCCTGAAGCACATTATTTTCCCTGCTGCCTAGCAGTTTCTGACAAAGATCAAATCTAGATGTCCTCTGGTTCTGAATCTCCCATCTCACTGCTTTTCAATTTAAATGGGTTTATTTATTATCAAAATTATATACATTCTGAGACTAAGTGTTAGTCATTTAGATTCAAATCAGCTCTGGGTTCAGGTTCTGGAGAGTTTGTCTGACCTTTGTATATTGGACATAATGTTCCACTTTACCTGCTTGTGTGAAAGGGCCGGAGATTTTGGAATCAGGTCCAATGGAGCTGGGATCTCTAGGAGGACACGTTGTCTCTGCAAAGCCGATCCGTTTGTGTTCACGGTCAAATACCACGTAGAAACCCTCCATCAAGACAGCCCCCAGTACAGTTCCTGGAACAGACAAGGACACTTAGTTGACACCTTGAGTGAGTGACTGAGTGATCATGAGTGAGTGAGTGAGTGATCATGAGTGAGTGAGTGATCATGAGTGAGTGAGTGATCATGAGTGAGTGAGTGAGTGAGTGAGTGAGTGAGTGAGTGAGTGAGTGAGTTTAGTTTAGTTTTATGCCGCACTGAGCAATATTCCAGCTATATGGCTGCATCTGTATATAAACGAGTCTGGATCAGACAATCCAGTGATCAACAACATGAAGATTGATCTGCGCAATTAGAATACGATGACGTGTGAGCGAGCCCGACCACCCGATCCCGTTGGTCGCCTCTTACAACAACATGGGTTACTGAAGACCAATTCTTGCCCGGTCATGCTGTCACCAACAGTTGCTGACAGGATTTATGAACAGGTAAGAGTCTTGTCTGATCAAGTAGAAGTAAGCAGCTCACCTGCTGTAGACGAGGCGATGCCAAACTTGAAGCAGAAGCCGCTCAAAGTTGGATCACTGGGATCTTGCACTGGACGCAGGTAATGCTGAAGTAAAGAGAAGATGCATTGTATACCAAGCTAGACAATGATGGTGAAGATGATGAGGATGATGATGACGACGATGACGACAACATAGCGATGATGATGATGATGATGATGATGATGATAATGACGGCGATGATGTGAACTGGGGCACTTAAGAATATTTCACTCATATGACGACGTGCTTGCATGTGTATGTGTGCCTGCTTGTACTAGCCGTGACTGAAGCTGGTTTTATTGTGCTAGCCCACTAAGATACCATACCGCAGTGAAGCATGAATACCCAATTCAGACACATTATACTGACTTCGAGCCGACCAGTCCTTCTTGTACCCATTAATGCCGAGCGCCAGGCAGGGACCAACAAGTACCTTATTTTAACGTCTTTTGGTATGACGCAGTCGGGGATTGAACCCATGACCTTCCGCTCTCGGGGCGAAGCTCTGACCACTACACCACGACGTCGATGTGATGATGATGATGAGTGAGTGAGTTTAGTTTTAAGCTGCACTCAGCAATATTCCAACTATATGGCAACGGTCTGAAAATAATCGAGTCTGGACCAGACAATCGAGTGATCAACAGCATGAGCATCGATCTGCGCAATTGGAAACCGATGACATGTGCCAACCAAGTCAGCGAGCCTGACCACCTGATCCCGTTAGTCGCCTCTTACGACAAGCATAGTCGCCTTTTGTGGCAAGCATGGGTTGCTGAAGACCTATTCTACCCCGGATCTTCACGGGTCGATGATGATGATAATGATGATGATGATAATGATGATGATGATGATGATGATGATGATGATGATGATGATGATGATGACAACTTACCTGAGGTAGTAGAGTGAGATGGAAGAAGGTGTTGTTGGTCATGATGAGAGCCACAGACACTGTGGGGAAGCCCGTGTAGGCGATGGCCAGGTCAGTCCAACACACCACCTCTGTGCCGCTCCAGAAGTACTGAGACGGATACCAGTCGGGGACCTGAAACACATTGACTGGTTGAATCAGTGGTTGAATAAGTGATAGAGTGATTGATTAAATGGTTAGTTTGTTGGGTGGCACCATATCACTATACTTTTATATTCCAAGCTTCTATAATAAGACGAAGTACAAACAAATACATACCACAGTTACCTCCCTTACTCTTCATATAGTTAAACCTTCCCTACTTACACTGTGTCTGACCTGAAGGCCCTTCACCAGGACCTGTCACTTCCCTTCTTACACTGTGTCTGACCTTGAAGGCACTCCACCAGGACCTGTCACTTCCCTACTTACACTGTGTCTGACCTGAAGGCCCTTCACCAGGACCTGTCACTTCCCTACTTACACTGTGTCTGACCTGAAGGCACTCCTCCAGGACCTGTCACTTCCCTACTTTCACTGTGTCTGACCTGAAGGCACTCCACCAGGACCTGTCACTTCCCTACTGACACTGTGTCTGACCTGAAGGCACTCCACCAGGACCTGTCACTTCCCTACTTACACTGTGTCTGACCTGAAGGCACTTCACCAGGACCTGTCACTTCCCTACTTACACTGTGTCTGACCTGAAGGCACTCCACCAGGACCTGTCACTTCCCTACTTACACTGTGTCTGACCTGAAGGCACTCCACCAGGACCTGTCACTTCCTACTTTTTTACACTGTGTCTGACCTGACGGCACTCCACCAGGACCTGTCACTTCCCTACTTACACTGTGTCTGACCTGAAGGCAATCCACCAGGACCTGTCACTTCCCTACTTACACTGTGTCTGACCTGAAGGCACTCCACCATGACCTGTCACTTCCCTACTTACACTGTCTGACCTGACGGCACTCCACCAGGACCTGTCACTTCCTACTTACACTGTGTGCTGACCTGAAGGCCCTTCACCAGGACCTGTCACTTCCCTTCTTACACTGTGTCTGACCTGAAGGCCCTTCACCAGGACCTGTCACTTCCCTTCTTACACTGTGTTCTGGACCTCAAGGCCCTTCTCACCAGGACCTGTCACTTCCCCTTCACACAGTGCCTGACCTGGAAGGCACTTCACCAGAACCTGTCACTTCTTCTTACACTGTGTCTGACCTGAAGGCACTCCACCAGAACCTGTCACTTCCTTCTTACACTGTGTCTGACCTGAAGGCACTCCACCAGGACCTGTCACTTCCCTACTTACACTGTGTCTGACCTGAAGGCACTTCACCAGAACCTGTCACTTCCCTTCTTACACTGTGTCTGACCTGAAGGCCCTTCACCAGGACCTGTCACTTCCCTACTTACACTGTGTCTGACCTGAAGGCACTTCACCAGGACCTGTCACTTCCCTACTTTCACTGTGTCTGACCTGAAGGCACTCCACCAGGACCTGTCACTTCCCTACTGACATTGTGTCTGACCTGAAGGCACTCCACCAGGACCTGTCACTTCCCTACTTACACTGTGTCTGACCTGACGGCACTCCACCAGGACCTGTCACTTCCCTACTTACACTGTGTCTGACCTGAAGGCACTCCACCAGGACCTGTCACTTCCCTACTTACACTGTGTCTGACCTGAAGGCACTCCACCAGGACCTGTCACTTCCCTACTTACACTGTGTCTGACCTGACGGCACTCCACCAGGACCTGTCACTTCCCTACTTACACTGTGTCTGACCTGAAGGCAATCCACCAGGACCTGTCACTTCCCTACTTACACTGTGTCTGACCTGAAGGCACTCCACCATGACCTGTCACTTCCCTACTTACACTGTCTGACCTGACGGCACTCCACCAGGACCTGTCACTTCCCTACTTACACTGTGTCTGACCTGAAGGCCCTTCACCAGGACCTGTCACTTCCCTTCTTACACTGTGTCTGACCTGAAGGCCCTTCACCAGGACCTGTCACTTCCCTTCTTACACTGTGTCTGACCTCAAGGCCCTTCACCAGGACCTGTCACTTCCCTTCTTACACAGTGTCTGACTTGAAGGCACTTCACCAGAACCTGTCACTTCCCTTCTTACACTGTGTCTGACCTGAAGGCACTCCACCAGAACCTGTCACTTCCCTTCTTACACTGTGTCTGACCTGAAGGCACTCCACCAGAACCTGTCACTTCCCTTCTTACATTGTGTCTGACCTGAAGGCACTCCACCAGGACCTGTCACTTCCCTACTGACATTGTGTCTGACCTGAAGGCCCTTCACCAGGACCTGTCACTTCCCTACTTACACTGTGTCTGACCTGAAGGCACTCCACCAGGACCTGTCACTTCCCTACATACATTGTGTCTGACCTGAAGGCCCTTCACCATGACCTGTCACTTCCCTACTTACACTGCGTCTGACCTGAAGGCCCTTCACCATGACCTGTCACTTCCCTTCTTACACTGTGTCTGACCTGAAGGCCCTTCACCAGGACCTGTCACTTCCCTTCTTACACTGTGTCTGACCTCAAGGCCCTTCACCAGGACCTGTCACTTCCCTTCTTACACTGTGTCTGACCTGAAGGCCCTTCACCAGAACCTGTCACTTCCCTTCTTACACTGTGTCTGACCAGAAGGCACTCCACCAGAACCTGTCACTTCCCTTCTTACACTGTGTCTGACCTGAAGGCACTCCACCAGGACCTGTCACTTCCCTTCTTACATTGTGTCTGACCTACCTGCCCTGGTATTTGTTGTCACTTCCCTACTTACATTGAGTCTGACCTACCTGCCCTGGTATTTGTTGTCACTTACACTGTGTCTGACCTACCTGCCCTGGTATTTGTTGTCACTTCCCTACTTACATTGAGTCTGACCTACCTGCCCTGGTATTTGTTGTCACTTACACTGTGTCTGACCTACCTGCCCTGGTATTTGTTGTCACTTACACTGTGTCTGACCTACCTGCCCTGGTATTTGTTGTAACTTACACTTTGTCTGACCTACCTGCCCTGATATTTGTTGTCACTTACACTGTGTCTGACCTACCTGCCCTGATATTTGTTGTCACTTATACTGTGTCTGACCTACCTGCCCTGGTATTTGCTGTCACTTTCTACACTGTGTCTGACCTACCTGCCCTGGTATTTGTTGTCACTTACACTGTGTCTGACCTACCTGCCCTGATATTTGTTGTCACTTACACTGTGTCTGACCTACCTGCCCTGATATTTGTTGTCACTTACACTGTGTCTGACCTACCTGCCCTGATATTTGTTGTCACTTACACTGTGTCTGACCTACCTGCCCTGATATTTGTTGTCACTTACACTGTGTCTGACCTACCTGCCCTGGTATTTGTTGGCACTTACACTGTGTCTGACCTACCTGCCCTGGTATTTGTTGTCACTTACACTGTGTCTGACCTACCTGCCCTGGTATTTGTTGTCACTTACACTGTGTCTGACCTACCTGCCCTGATATTTGTTGTCACTTACATTGTGTCTGACCTACCTGCCCTGGTATTTGTTGGCACTTACACTGTGTCAGACCTACCTGCCCTGATATTTGTTGGCACTTACATTGTGTCTGACCTACCTGCCCTGGTATTTGTTGTCACTTACACTGTGTCTGACCTACCTGCCCTGGTATTTGTTGTCACTTACACTGAGTTTGTTCTGAATGCCCTCCACCAGGGCCTGGAAGACTTTGTCCGGGAGACGCAGGTTTGTAGTTCCACTGTCCACGATGGTTTTGTCATAGTTGTACTGAAAACAGAGTCAGCAATTCAGCAATATGCCAGCTATTTCACTTTGTGGGACACCAGAATTTCCCATCACATATTATGTACCCTCATGGACAAACAGTGAACACTTTTACTACCTGACTACCCTACTGTTTAGAGCACTATCCCAGTCATATTTCGGATTCACAGCTCAATGTGGTAGTGGGTGAGAGTTTTATGCCGCTTATTAGAAATATTCCAATATCGCGGCAAGTGACACCAGAAATGGGTTTCACACAATATACCCATGTGGGGAATCAAACCCAGGTCTTCGGCGTGCCGAGCAATGTGTATGTGTGGCTGCTCGTACTAGCCCAGACTTAAGCTGGTTTTATAGTACTAGCCCACTGAGATACCATGCCGCAGTGAAGCATGAATACCCCACTCAGACACATTATACTGACTCCGAGCCGACCAGTCCTTGTTGTACCCATTAATGCTGAACGCCAGGCGGGGAACAACAAGTACCATATTTTAACATCTTTTGGTATGACGCGGTCGGGGATCGAACCCGCGACCTTCCGCTCTCCGGGCGGACGCTCTAACCACTACACCGTGGAGGCGGTCAGTATAGGAGGAAAGCCATACGAGCTGTCTACGACTTCACTGAAACTCATGAACACTGGTATGGTGCTGCCAGACTTAAATACAAAACTTAGGAAAAGGGATGTAAATAAACAATCATAGCTTCCTGGCATGCCCAAGGGAAGCAACTCTGTACAGAGAATAATGACACGTCAGCTGTTACCTTGAATTACATCACATGCAACTCACCGAGAGCACAGAATAAAAAGAATTAATGGCTTAAATTACAATTCAATGCATTTGTGTGACACAGTTGTTTTGAAATAGAAAAGAGGAACTCCTTCAAAATGTTAAAATTGATATACCACCAGGGTTTTACATGACGCGTGATTCCTACGTATTTGACGCAACAATTTTGCAAACTACTCTCAAAACATTATCAAAGGAAGTCAAGCATGACGCAAGTTTTATGGGTGGCCCTCACAATTCAGTTCAATAAAATCAATTTGATAAGCAAAATATGATATTGTTTGATAGTAGTTTGACTTTTACAGAGCTGTCAGACTGTTCCAGGGAACTCAGAGGAGACAGTAATCCTGACTGTTTGAATTGAACAATGCTGTAGTTTCATTTGGTGGTGTGACATACATTTACATACTGAGAATGATTCACACAAAGAAATAGTAACATTTTCATGACTCCCAAATATTGAAAATGACTCCCAAAAATATATATTGTGAGTCACCATGACACCCATTTTTAAAAGTCTGTGTAAAAAACCCTCTTTATTCTTCCCTGCAAAGCAAGTTAAATGACTTTGAAAATATGTTTGTTGATTTAGTTTAGTGAGTGACTTTCATAAAATAATGTTTACCTCTTTACAATCCAGCTTGAGACTTTTGTTGTTGACGAGGATGTCTGCGATGACGACCTCGTAGTACCACTCCCGGTGTATGGGGGTGTAGAAGATGTTGCCTTTATACAGAGAGCCTGACACTCCCCCTAACAGCTGTAACAGATAGAAACCTGGCTGAATATGTATCTGACCCGTGAAGATCCAGGTTAGAATTGATCTTCAGCAACCCATGCTTGCCTCCTGTAAAGATCTAGGTTAGAATTGATCTTCAGTCTCCATGCCTGTCGTAATCGGCGACTAACAGGACCGGGTGGTCAGGCTCGCTGATTTGGTTGACACATGTCGTCATATGCCAATTGTGTAGAGCACTGATCATGCTGTTGATCACTGGATTGTCTGGTCCAGACTCGATTATTAACAGCCCGCCATCATATAGCTGGAATATTGCTGAGTGTGGCATAACTGACTCACTCACTCACTCACAAATACGCATCCTATAAGAAGATCTTAGCGCGCTAAGGTGATAATAAATCCCATACTTGACACTATGGTACTAAGGCTGGTTTGACCACTTTTGCCTAAACACTAGCAATACAAGTGAACTGAAGATTTGGTTAGTTTGTTGTTTAAAGCCACTCAGCAATATTCTAGCTATATGAGAATGGTCTGTAAATAATCAAGTCTGGACCAGACAATCCAGTGATCAACATCATGAGCATCGATCTACACAATTGGGATACAATGACGTGTCAACCAAAGTCAGTGAGCCTGACCATCCGATCCTGTTTTTATATCAAACATGGGTTGCTGAAGACCAATGCTAACCCGGATCTTTACGGGTTCACTCAAACATTAGTTACTTGTAGTGTAAGCTTGGGGGTCATAGTGTTATTTTGTCATCAAACAATGTCAAACAAACCCGCCCTGCCCACCTCAACTCCATCCTCACCTGATTACAACATACAACTGACATGTAGCATGGTTGTGTTGCGTGTGTCTAAAAATTGGTAATGTTATCTTTCTGGTGATAATCATTTGCAGAAGCCTGAAGTCAGGAAACGCTGATGAAGGAGGGAGGAAGAACAGAAGGCTTCTGAGGTGAGGTGAAATTGGGTTTAACGTCGTGCTTGATAATACTTTGCTCATATGATGACGTAGAAAGCTTCTGAAGGTGATAATACAACTATGTAATTTTTTAAGTAAAATTGATATTTTATACTTATCGTGACTCATGATCTTTTGCTTATCTCCCTTTCCTCTTCGAATGGTAGTGGAACACTTGAATCCCTTGAAGTTCCCGAAGCGGACGTATAAATACACTCACCCACGAGTTACCTCCCTTTGCCCTTTCCCGCGCAAACCAGTCAGGTGACCTTCCTTACTTGTCACTCTCTCTCTCTTTTCGCCCAAGCGGATGGCGATTACTGGACTCCCGTATACGGCATTATATCCTTTTATATTTAAGTCCTATTTTTTCAAAATTACGATGTATATGGATTCGACTATAACTACTTATGTAGTATTTGTAAAAACATTTGTAGAAATTAATTACATTTGAGTTGTGTTTTCATTGTTATGTAACTTTGTTGACATTTCATGAAATCCTGCAGTGTTTGCAGGTTATCCGTGGCTGATCCTCACCCCCAATGTCCTTCATGCATAAATCCATGTTCCTCCAGCTTGCACTGTACTTATTGTATTGATTTATCCAATCTTCGATTTAATCAATTCAAAGAGGAAAGGGAGATAAGCAAAAGATCATGAGTCAGGATAAGGAAAAATAAATATAATGTCAGTCGTTTAAGTTCAAATGGATAGAACAACATCCTAATATGAACAACAACAAAATAAATATAAACAGCATCATAAGTTTAGAGCCTGCATAAAAAATACCATGATGGAGGACACTAACTTAGAATTGGCCACATCACAGAGTGAGTGAGTGAGTGAGTTTAATTTTATGCCGCTTTTGGTAATATTCCAGCAATATCACGACGGGGGACACCAGAAATGGGCTTCACACATTGTACCAATGTGGGGATTCGAACCCGGTTCCTTAACCTCAAACACCTTAACCACTAGTCTGCCCCACCATCCCCCCATATCACATAACAAAACACAGAATGATGTCACAAACTTGATGAATTACAAAACGAGGGACTTTCAGTCCATTATAGCTGAGTAAACAAGACTCACCATTGTCCCATCCATTGAGTTTGTGCTCATGTTGAGAGAAACCGAATTGGGCAGTGCTTTAGCCCCACACAGCTGGATAGAGAAGAGATTCCGGACATGACCCTGCTTCACCAGGCTGTCAAGGAATGGTTCCACATCCCCATCAGGCTGCAACAATTGAGTAACCATGGTAACAAGAGAGTACAACGTGAGCTTGAATAAGGATGATCCTAGTTCAGGTTAGTGGTGGTCCGATTAATTGAAATAATCGAAGATTGGTCGCAGTGACTAAACGACCAACCATCGATCATGTTTTCTCAATCGAACACAAACATTTTGAAAAGTGACCATTTTTAGAATATTATGAAAGACTTTCGTTTTATCAGTATTTTCTGTTAGCGGTAGGTTGTCTAGTGTAGGGTTGGAATTATCTCCCTTTTTTGAACAAGCTTTTCATGTTGTGTTTGCTCTGAAGAGACCGCATGGTGTGCCGAGATGCACTGCAGGTTGATGAAAGCTGTATTGTTGTATAGAGGCGGAAAATTCACTCTTCAGGTACATATATTCATTTCTTTATAGTCTAAATGCACTGTAAAGTAGTATTTCCTACCTAGTCATAATTACAGGTAATTTTAAGTACTTTTTGAAGACTGTTTTCATTCATGCTTCACGGAAGATTGCATTACACCTAAAGGGCAGATTATTTGTTTACTTCATTACCCATGCCTAAATATATTGTTTCATTGAGTAATTCAGTTAAGTATTTAGTATATCATAATGTCATGTAGGAATAACGAAAGTGTTTTCGGTTAATTTCTCCATATTTTCATCTTTGTATTTTATGGAAGAGTTCATTTTTTCCATAGGGGTTACATTTTGCCATGTGCTTTTGAGCAATAATTTGAGATAACTATAAGAAATATTTTCAAGATATTGATACATATTTTTAAGTGAAGTGATAATGATATTTGCAATGTATTTTCAGTAGTGTATTTGCATTTGAGAGTTATTTCCATTTTGGGAGAGTCCATTATTTAATGGGTATTATTGTAGACTAAATGTATTTGTGGATCAGGACCAGGGTTGTAAGTGTAATATTTATTGTACTATTGTTGTGTTATCAATGCAGTGTGTATTTATTTCTACATTTGTTTAATTTGCAGAATCTGTCAACTTTATTTAATAAAGGACTTATTGGAAGAATTCCGCCTTATTTAACCATTGTTCATTCAAAACAATTCTAGAACACCTGTTTTCATTAACAATATTTTTCACTAGGTTGGTTTTGTCTGTTACATTTCATAAGCACTACAAGCTCGTTCCAAGTCATGATTGAATTTATCTTAAAGACTCCAGGAAATTTATGTTCTTCCATACTGGTTCATCCTTTAAAGATGTGAAATTTGCCCAAAAAAATCGAAAGAACTACGTTTTTTCCTTATTTTTGTGTGCATTAACACATTTCATAAATGACGCTAACCAATTATTTTCGATGATTGATCGGTTGTAATTAACCAATCATCAATTATGAGATTTTAACCAATTCCCAACACTAGTTCAGGTTGACGTTCTAACCACACGTGACAACATTTGAAAAGGGACTAAAATTTGAAATTCCATTTAAGTTCTGTTTTTATTCCCAAGTGTCTACACACATCCAATAAAATTTAAATTTTTAATACTGTTTATGTACTAGTTGAGAAATATCTGTCTGGTATCTAGCAAATCATGGAGGATTCTTGATTTAGATTTCAGTTTTGCAAGAGGAGATGTTTTCTGTGTTACTTGTTGATTAACACCGCTTCTCATCAATATTTCGACCCGTGAAGATCCGGGGTAGAATAGGTTTTGAGCAACCCATGCTTGCCACAGAAGGCGACTACTGGTATGCTTGTCGTAAGAGGCGACTAACGAGATCAGGTGGTCAGGCTCGCTGGCTTGGTTGACACATGTCATCGGTTCCCAATTGCGCAGATAGATGCTCATGCTGTTGATCACTAGATTGACTGGTCCAGACTGGATTACTTAGAGACCGCCACCATAGAGCTGGAATATTGCTGAGTGCGGCTTTAAACTAAACTCACTCACTCACTCAATATTTCAGCTATTAAAAAGAAAAGAAGACAATTAAGTGGTTGGTATAATGAGCAACTGTCCCAAAAATTGAGGTGTGATGACAAAGTCCTAGATCCCGACTACTGGTCCACCTTTGACCCATCAGATTTGTTTGTTTGTTTGTTCGTTTGTTGTTTAATGCCACCTAGCAATATCCAAGCTATATGGCAGCAGTCTGTAAATAATCGAGTCTGGACCAGACAATCCAGTGATCAACAGCATGAGCATCGATATACCCAAATGGAATACCATTACATGTGTCTACCAAGTCAGCAAGCCAGACCACCTGATCCCATTAGTCGCCTCTCACGACAAGCATAGGTTGGTGAAGATTAATTCTAGCTCGGATCTTCACGGGTCTACAATCATCATAAGTAAACATACTCCACACAGGGATGCTGTTCAAGGTTCACAGGACCAGCAAAGCATAATACCTAAAAAAAATTTTTCTTAATTTGACCAAGGACACTTCAGCAAGCATCTGAAGCACCTGCTTGAGTCCTACCCGTGAAATTTCCTGATATGCGAATCCGATGATGCCCTGCCAGTCTGATGTGTTGATGAAGAAGTTGGAAGACCTTGTGATGAAGGCAATGTTGGACCTGACGGTGATGTTGGGCAGCGATGGGAGGTTGACCATGTCAGTGGCTAGCTCCCCTGTCCAGTCCCCTTGGGTGTAAGGGACATACACAGACCTCCCACTATCCTCATACGTGGAGGACCTGATCACACAGATGATATAATGATGATGATGATGATGATGATGATGGTGATGATGAAAATGATGATGATAGTGCCTGAACTAAAATTTGACTGACTGACTGAGTTTGGTTTTACGCCGCTTTTAGCAATACTTCCAGCAACATCACGGCAGGGGACACTAGAAATGGGCTTCACACATTGTACCCATGTGGGGATTCGAACCTGGGTCTTTGGCGTGACGAGCCAACGCTTTAACCATTAGGCTACCCCACCGCCCCTTAAAATTTGACATCGCATCAGCATTATTTCAGCAACATATAGAGAATCTCACCCAAGTGTCTTCTTATATCAAATATATAACACAAGTTGATTAAAGTTACAAATCGGCAAGCCTTGGATATTTGCAACTTTAAGCAACTTGTGTTATGCATTTGATTTCAGAAGACACGAGGGTGAGATTGTATTCATTATCCAAAATCATTCTTCATCAGTTATTATGACAGTTCAACTGTTGCGATGTCTACAATGTAGACAAAGTCTAGATAAGCTGCGTATCTGTGTAAGATATGCATTGAAATTTCAGAAATACACACTAAAATATATGTGTAGCATCCCAGATATGCACAGGAAATTACAGTTAGTTGTTGACTTGCGTACACTGACTTACCGGTAAAAAACAAATGCGTACCAGAAAGCATCTAACTGTCAATTGTTGCGAGTGAACCGGGTAGATTAACGCATGAATTTCACTATGTAACTGTACACTTTATGAACTACAGAAAGAAACAAACACAGCTAGTTATGTTTGTAACACTCATTTTGATCCGTTCTTCTGAAAATATCATCAAATGAAATCGTTTGTCTTGTTAGAAAGTCCAGACATACATTCTGTATCAACAGAGATGGAAATCGCCTGTGCATTCGTCTTCTAAAACATCATATCAAAGTAAGATTTCAGCATTTGTCACTGTTCAAAATCGACCTTTAGTAATTCGGTCATTGTAAAAGATATTTTTCATGAACCTCCAGGAAATTGTTTTGAATTGGAGGTTGCTATTGACAGATTTGCTAACCGCTGTCACTGCAAGCAATCGAGTCTGAGGTTTACGCCGCTTTTAGCAATATTCCACCAACACGGGAGGGGACTCGACAAATGGGCTTCACACATTGTATCTATGTGGGGAATTGAACCGCGGCTTTCCTCGTGACGAGCGAATGCTATAACCACTAGGCTACCCCCCTGCACCTGCCAGTTTTTGATGATAAAGAGATACAGTGTGGGTTCTGTTCAGTTAAAAAAAAATTGATGCCAGAAAAACACAGAAAAGATGCTCAAGTCACAAAGGTGCGCGAGTCTAGTTTTATGCTGCTTTTAGTAATATTCCAGCAATATCACAGCAAGGGACACAGCAGTTGTACCCCATGTGGGCAAACACGTTAACCACTAGGCTACCCCACTGCCCAAACAAAGGTGAACACAGAATCTTCATGCTCGTCCTAGAAACTGCATATCAAGTCACGTCTACAAAATGTGTATATTTATTGAGAAATGGCAATAATGGGCTAAAGGTGATGCGACACATATACAAATGGATTAAAATTCTGTGTTTTGGAGACAGTTCATCCTCGATAATCTCCAGTGTATACGTTCCAATAAATCTCCACTATACCCTGGATGCATCTACTGCTTGAGCCGATGATTAAATTACCTCCCTTTGCTGGCTCCGCATTCTCACAGTAGCCAATCAGATAAGACGCCGTTACAACTGAGCTTGGAAGTGTCAACAAAGATAGCGGTCACAGCCACGAAAGTTTGTTCGCAGTGCAACTCAGATTTGGGGGACAAACATACCGAAAAATTGACAGGTCTAAAATCATGCAAAAATATATGCAAGAACCCCTTCTACCTCTTTCAGAGTACCTTTGCAACAATATATTATTGTGTTGCCAAGTTTAATCGGTTAGATAATTTAAAAGGCGAAAGTGAGTTGTGATTGGTACGCTCAGCTTCCAAGCGTAGACACATGATTGGATAAACAGCAAACCAAGGGATGTAATAAAATCATCGGCTCAAGCCGCAGATGCATCCTGGGTATAGTGGAGATTTACCCTGGAGAACGTATACACTGGAGATTATCAAGGATGGAGACAATTGAGCTGGTATCAGTTTCAAAGTTTGTAAAATATCAGAAGAAAACAAGCTCATTCAGCGACATGGAAAGGTCAGACTGAAGGTGAAGGTCAGACTGAAGGTGAAGGTCAGCCTGTTGCTGGTTCAAAAATATATCAGTATATGAAAGGTGTGAGTAGGCTCAACAGTTTAGTATACCTTGTATGCGGTACAAATATTTTCTGTGAATACACAATGCCATTAAGAAAGTGGTCAAATGTAACACAAGTTCCTTAAAACATTTAACCATATTCACTGTAATAAAGATCTAGGATGCTAAAAGATTTACGGAATAAGGTGTGCTTCTTGAAGCAAAGTGCTTAATATGGTGAATAAGGCACATGTTTTACCACAAGCACAAATTTCATAACTTGATACATACACAAATGGCTCACCAATGAACTAAAATGAATTTTTCAAAATGGCCGCCAAGACAGATATGTAAATATTATTGTTCTAAAGTAAGATCATCAGTTAACCAACGTATAATGCATGGTGTACTCACTCGTTGGTGTGAAAAAACTTGCTGATTTCATCATCCTGCGATGCTGCGATGGCAAAGTTGCTGCTGCCAGTGTCAACAAGGACATTTAACTGCAAACATAGAAGAAACTATGGTAACAGAGATATAATGTATCGGGCATGACACATGATCATCAGGTGCATACATAAACTTTCCCAGTAGGCTGTAACCGAGCTGGATTCAATTGATTCAATATGAATACATAAAGTGTATGGTGTGAACTACAGCAAACAAGGAATATTTCTGGTGATTACTGTGTACATGTTGTATTTTCATGCATTCTCTTTCCAATGTCAAAAGCAGCGAGTATCACTGAAAAATATAAAATGGTTGGCACCAGAAATCAGCAAGACAACAAGCTATATTTGAGGCCCTAAAATGACCTCTGTTCTCCCTGACTTAGTACCTATTTTTTTACTGTTTTTTTAGAAATAACGTGACTAATCTAGAAAAAAACAATTCTAACCCGGATCTTCACGGGTTGTAAACTTGAGAACAGGATTTGATGAACACTATTATGACTGCAAGATTAACTCAGCTTGGTATGTGTCCTGGATAGATAAACAAACCCAGAAAATATGTTATCATACAAAACAGGATTTCCTGTTATGGGCTCTGGCATTCAAAATGGCCGCACCCATGTTAAGCTGCAAGATTGAGAGTGTAACCCATAAAAAGTTTTATCAGTTGCAAATAATAGTTTTGAATCATTTGAGTTGGCCACATTTATCCCATTTTCCATAAATGAAACATGATGAGCACTATTTTTATAGTTTAAATCGTGCAGCCGAAGCACACTGAAAATATTTAATCCGGGTCATTTCAATACCTACCATGCCATGGCAGGCACATTAAGCACTATTTCGATCCCTGAACTGATATTATTTTATATAATTACATGCTAAAATAACTATTAGACCAAACAATTATCAAAATATTGTACAAAATGATTTCTTTCCAAATTAGCCTGTCAAGGTCACAGAGTTTGGGATCTTTAATATGTCCATGTATCATTCAACTTAATAGCCTAACATCTAGTCTCTGAAATGAAAATATTTCACAGAAAAAATACAGCTCCTATAGTCTGTTTGCAGTGCAAACGTATGAATTTCACTTTAAACAAAAAAGTATATCAAATAAAATGAAACTAAGATTGTGAATCCTCATAATTTTACCTTGCTGATTGAACATTTAAATCTCAGAATTTTATTCAACTTAAAATAAAAGTTGTTTAACAAATGATCATAGTTTCAGATTGCTATTATTGGTTTGTATTACAAGGGGGTAAGCGCAGTAGTTGGAAGAGTGAAACAAATGCACATGTGGTATGTGATGAGCATTAACTTCGACCAAACATACATGTTCTCGGTGTTTCACTTAATGTGCATACTCCCTTGTAATACAATGCGGCGTAAAACTAAACTCACTCACTAACTTCCATACACTGACCTTCTGCGGAGGCGTACCGATGTTCATCTCGATATAGTAACCCTCGCCAGACTGACCATGAAGGTTTTGAGTTGCACGTCTGCTGCGCTGACCAGGCACGAAGGTCTGTCTGTTGGCGGCCATGATGCAACTTGAGTTTGATGACCTTCCCCTGGCATGGGGTCAAGGTCACACTCATCAGTACATTGACAGTGATGGCTAGTGACAACCCCTTTCTCCAAAGACCTAAAGGCTGTGAAGTGTGCTTCATAATGTCTTGGGAGGAACAACACACAATTCCCAAACATGTGAATCTACTTCATTCTATGTCCTAAGTAGTCCTGCAAAAGAAAATCAAACAAAATTTAGTAAATGTTGCATAACCAGTAGGGGCAGGGATGGAAATAACCTTCAAATTGCTAGTGTACTCCGATACAGTGGCACATGTAAAATCACTTGCCCTGATCATTTTTCCACTATACCGGCCGTTAGCTTGTTGATTTTTTAAATAAACAACATAATTAACATTTGAATATCAACTGGACACCGGTACAGTGTGATAAACAAATTTGCTTGCCCGACAGAAAAAAAAACACTGGACTCGGGCGTCGGGCAATGGGTTATTTCCACCCCTGAGGGGTGGGTATTGCAGAGAATTTTCATATTGCGATATGTTGCAATGCGAAAGCATATATTGCGATATGTATTGCAATATACTGAAAGTAGTTTTTTTCAACAAAAAATACTTATAATTGAGTTTATGATTGATTCATAGAGCAAAAAACAACAAAATCACTATGCTTAATTTAGCTTTAATAAACACTTTTAATCATGAAAAATAAAACAGTAAATAATATTTGGCGCAAATGAAACAAGGAAAAGAACAATTTAACATCAACACAGTGGTTCAGCCCCAAATGCTGCCATGCTGAAACCTTTGCCCTAGTATTTGGCACCACAAAAAAAATTTTGTTATTGGGGTCACCATTTTACAACAAACGCTTGAGATCCGGTGTGAAAAACGGAAATGTCCCTAGATTTCCGAGTGTTATGAAGTTTTCCGAATGCATGTCAAAATACCGGTTTTCGATCAATGTATCACAATACGTATCATTTTCATGTCTGAACCGGTAAATACCAGTAAACTTGTTATATTGCGCAGCCCTAATGACCAGTGATGGGGCTGAGAGTTTATTCCTTCAGTACAGGTGAGGTGAAATTGGGCTTAACATCGTACTTGAGAATATTTCGCTCATATGACTATGTGAATGCGTGTGTATGTGTATGTGCGGCTGCTTGTACTAGCCCAGACTTAAGCTGGTTTTATAGTGCTAGCCCACTGAGATACCATGCCGCAGTAAAGCATGAATACCCCACTCAGACACATTATACTGACTCCGAGCCGACCAGTCCTAGTTGTACCCATTAATGCCGAACGCCAGGCAGGGACCAACAAGTACCATATTTTAACGTCTTTTGGTATGACGCGTCGGGGATCAAACCTGCGACCTTTCACTCTCCTGGCAGACGCTGTAACCACTACACCACGGAGGCGGTCCCTTCAGTAGGTCAGCACCCTTTGTACTTCCAGGGCTAACATTTGGGTAAACCTACACTTACCCCCACATCAATTTCTGTGATCCCCAGGGTTTTAGTCGACTCACAAACATGGGGGTCCTGGGGACCCCTAATTATTAGTTTCAGGGGTAGTTGCAGGCAATATGAAGGTCTTCTGAAGTTACAGTGTAGGGAACTGTATGTTTTAATAATTTGGAATGAATCATTGATCATGTGGACTGATGGATGAAATGATGCACACTACTGCTCTGAACGAAACAACCAAACACTTTACAAAGTCATAGATGTGTTGAAACTTGTAGGTATAGTGAATAATGTCCCTCTGAACGCAGTGATTTTTCTTCTGCATCCATTCTCTACATTCGTGTGTACTGGACGCACATTTGTGGGTCACGAAAAACCCTGTCCCCCCACCCCCTTCTTAAATTTCATTAACATTTTGCCAAACGAGCAAATATTGCTAAGGGAGGTAACTTGTACTATATAGAAATTAAGCTGTTGTCCTTTCCATCACAGGTTATATTTCGGATTACAGTTTCTCAGTAAAGTGCATCATTATTGTGTGATACTCGATTCTGAGAGCTCTGAGAGCTGAAGACTCATTAAAACCGTACTTAATTAAAGTGACCGATTGACCACGTATGAATACAATGAACTCGTTGACTCTTTTGTTTGTAAAGAAACATGTCTGACATGGGTCTTAAATCAATAAAAAAGGACCGCAAAATTGAAAACAGAGTAGCTTTATCTTTTAATTCAAAGCTGATACATCACACAGATTAACAAATTCGCTAATTACATTACAGCCTGGTGTACGGTTTGCAAAAAAACAATAATAATAATAAGTTCAATAATCAATCAATTTTAATCAACACTTTATTCACGAAAAAACCTGCAAAAACACCTTTTAGAAACATATATATATGCAAATCAAGGTGTGCCATTTATTGTGAAGCGACACGACCAATACCATAATAGTAGAAAAAAACAGTTCAGTAGCAGTTTTCCAATCTAGAACATGATTCTACGAATTCTGGGTTTGTATATTACTTCAATGTCAGTTTTGTCTACATGTTGATTAACTTTGTAACAGCACATTTTCTTTTTAAAAAATAACTAATATATTCCTTGAATCACTTCACAACATGACTTGTCTATCAGATTCTACCAAGATACACTCAATATCGTAGCAAAATAGTTTTATGTTGATACCATTACATAAAAAGAATAAAATACTGAAATGATAATTTACAGAGGAAGAGATAAGCTGCGTATCTGCGAAAATTACGCATGCAAGTACGCTTGAATTTTGGTAAATACTCAATAAATGTGATCATACATGTGTACACACGAAAATGGCAAATCTTAGCTTGCGTGCGTACCGGTGAATAGATAAAATATACTGAGAGGTTCTATTTCAGGACATGAAATTGACAACTTGCAGTCATTCTTACTGTTTCTCATATTACAGATCAAACATAAATAACAAACACTAACATTTAAACTTTATTGTATTTTTAAAATTAATGGAAAATGGCAAAATACCCAATTGAGAGTGAATGAGGTGAGTACAATATATTTGGTTACTCAAAGGAAAATTAGGAAACCCAACTGAGATGAACACAGGCGAGTACAGAAATCAGTTATCTGTAGCTCTAATTTACATTGTATTGATAACTAAACCCTTTCCACATAATAATTCAGTAAGTATTTGTAATAGACCATTATTCAGGTATATTTCCCATTTGTGTTTTATCTACAAGTTCAGAGTGAATTTTGTCTACAAGTGGAGGGTCTCTACAAATTGTCATGGCTATGAAATAGTTGGTTAAAAATTCACCTGCACCTACATGTAAGGTCATGTCTAACCTAAGAGTGAGTGAGTTTAGTTTTACACCACACTATGGCAGTGGTCTGTAAAGAACTGAATCTGGACCAGACAATCCAGTGATCAACAGCACAAGCACTGATCTACGCAATTGGGATACGATGACATGTGTCAACCAAATCAGCAAGTCTGACCACCTGATCCCGTTAGTCACCTCTTACTACAAGCATGGGTTACTGAAGTTCCATTGTAACCCGGATCTTCACAGGTTCTTAGCTTGGACCTCATTGCACATCTTGGCTGGACTAACATTGGTCCCTGAGCAGGTGTAGATATATCTGTGATCATGATGGTAAAAGTGTCAAATAAGTTACCCTTTTAAGAATACTTATAGAATGACACACCACATTTGTTCCTTTTAAGTTTAACTCCTCAATCAGCACTTTTCAAGCTACATGACGGTGGTCTCACAGTCTACAAATATAGTCTGGACCAGACAATCCAGTGATTGACATCATGAGCATTGTTCCATGCAGCTGGTATACAATGATACAAGTAAATTCTGAGTCATGTTCTGGGATTCGAACCATGGGACTTCTTATCTCGAGCTGTATGCCTTGTTTACATGACTAAGGAGAATAATGTCTTCAGCAAATTGACAGAGTACGCATTTATCATGGGACCCTCTATTATCGCGGTAGTTAATGTTGTCGCCATCGGGATTATGAACAGCTACTGACATTTAGCATTTTATATATATTTTCAGTTGACTGATGTTTAATCTTCATTTCTGTCACAAGTACTGTGACACATGGTCGCAACTCGTTTAATACCATTGCGGCAATTCCGATTGTCTCGTTTGACCCGGAAATTGAAGCAACTCTCTATTATTGCGGTATTGCTATTTTCTTACCATGGCACGCGGTACAAGCAGATGACACTGTGAAACGTTTACTAAGACAAGTAACGAATCTAAATAATTTGATCATTTAAAAATATTTAGGAATTTCATTCACATTAGTAATATCATCATGTTTTTAACCCAAACATCTGAAACTTCTATTCATTTGGATACAAGGTAACAATAATGTTACGAAATATTGTTTTTCCGGCTTAAAACGTACCATACAAGTTGGTGCCGTGTGCAGAGTGAAGTTGCATAAATACGTCACTTCCTGTTATATTTTTAGCATGGAAAATACGCAAATGACCTTATAGAGCGGTAGCGGCAGTGTCCGGACACGGGCAGTACTCGACGCCTCTCGTTAAACATATATTTATAGCTAATTAGGTTAAGCGTTAATGCGCAACATATACGCGCATAAATATTCCTCTTCCGCCCTGCATCACGAAAAAAATCGTCTGCTAGAGGTAACACCCATGTGCAAAGCGTCCAATATCTGCCTTCCTACTTGATTGCCACGCCCCCTGATAGTCTTACATTTCCGCTAAGCAACACCGTTTCCGGTTTTAAGATCATGTACTACTTACAACTTGTTTTAGATGAAATGTAACTGACATAAGAACTCTAGTGAATGCATGCAGCCGGCTTCGAAGTACTATGGCACCAAATTCTAAAAATGGCCCGTTTTGTGCCCTGTCCGGCTACTGCCTCAGTGCGTGACAGTGGGAAGGCAGTACTCAGACACATTTAAACTGACACATTTGAAATAACAATCTCATCCCCATTTCAATAAACAAATTCAATCCAACTAATTTATAAATCAAATCAAATTTAACATTAATCATAATAACATTATATAATCTTATATGAAGAAAATAATACGTTTTACATAAATCTTTTGCTCTATTCCTTATTTATGTTCTAACGAATTGTAGGTTCTGCAACAAAATGAACAGGGGAAGGAACGCTAATAAACCAACCTACAGCGCTGATAACGTGAGAAGGGCGATAGACGCCATTAATACCCGAGGGATTTCCGTTAGGAAAGCTGCGACAAGTTATGGTATCCCAAGAAGTACTCTTCACGATAAACTAATGAACAAGGTCCCTATTGAGTTCAAAAAGGACCCTCCCCCTATCCTGTCACACGAGGAGGAGCAGAAACTTTCTCTCTGGGCTATCCAGATGTCCCAGATTGGGTACGGGCGGACTAGGGAGCAGCTCCTTGACACAGTTCAAAACATTTTAAAGGGAACAAATCGCCCCAACCCCTTTAAAAATAACAGACCAGCAAAAGACTGGTTTCCTGCTTTTCTGAGACGCAACCCAACTTTGTCGATCAAACACCTATGCAGTTGGCAAAGGAAAGGGCCATGGTTACAAAAGAAAAAATTGACCAGTGGTTTGACTCGCTTTCAGAGTATTTAAATCAAAATGCAGATATGCAGTTACTAAGCAAACCATCACGCATTTTCAATGCTGATGAGTCAGGGTTTCCCCTTTGTCCAAAAAGTGGCAAAGTTCTTGCAGAGAAAGGATGCCAAAATGTGTATAATTTCTCATCCTCAGACAAATCTCAGGTAACGGTTCTGGCCTGCGCTAGTGCAGCTGGGACGTACGTTACTCCTATGATAGTATATCCCGGGAGTAGGTTTCATTATAATCCTCTAGAGGGATTTGAATCTGCCGTCTTGGGCAGGAGTGAGAGTGGTTGGATGGACTCTGAGCTGTTTGCTTCTTGGCTGCACACTGTGTTCATACCACATATCAATCGCTGTGCAGTCAAAAAGCCAGTGGTTCTTTTTGTCGATGGTCACTCCACTCACCTCACTTTGGATGCATGTAATGCATGCATAGATAATAACATCATCTTATATTGTCTCCCTTCACATGCATCACATGTTATCCAGCCCTTAGACCTGTCTGTTTTCCTCATTGAAGCGCACATGGCGTCAGTCTGTAAGGCAATATCAGGATGAGCATGTTGGTGAGACTGTTATGAAAGCAGTCTTTGCGAGAGTGTTCAGAGGTGCGAGAGTGTTCAGAGGTGCGAGAGTGTTCAGAGGAGCGAGAGTGTTCAGAGGTGCGAGAGTGTTCAGAGGAGCGAGAGTGTTCAGAGGTGCGAGTGTTCAGAGGTGCGAGAGTGTTCAGAGGTGCGAGAGTGTTCAGAGGTGCGAGAGTGTTCAGAGGTGCGAGAGTGTTCAGAGGTGCGTGGGAGTTGGCAGCAACTGCCGAAAATGCAATAAAAGGTTTTAATGAATCTGGCCTCTTTCCCTTTAACAAATCGAAGGTTACTTCAAGTTTGAAACTGGCCCCAAGCTACGTCTTTAACAAGCAAACTCAGACAACCGTTTCTTCACCCTCACATTCCGGAATAGCCCATGTCTCTCCTCATACAACCCCCAACCCCTCTGGTACAACCCCCAACCCCCAGGATACTCCACAGAGCAATACCACTCCCCCAACGGATTTTGATAAACATCTCACTCTCCCAAAGGTCCAAAACTGACCCAACAAGAGAGTAAGGACTCTCCTACCGAAATCTGCGTTAGGTGAGGATATACGAGAAATCCTACTCGAGAAACAAAGGAAACTTACTGCAGAAAATGAAATGAAAGAAAAAAGGAAAAAAGAAAGGGAGGAGAAAAAGAAACAGCAAAAAAATTGCACGCCAAGCAATTCGCGATGAGAAAAAGATCGAAAGAGAATTAAAAAAACGAATTGCTGAACAGAAGAAAGCAGAACGTTTTATGGAACTTACAAAGACATAATGCAACTGACAGAGACAGTGACGAGAACATGTCTGATTCAGAAATTCCATACGATGACGAATTGAGGGCGAGGGATGGTGATGTGTATGCGCGGATGATGAGGACATTTGTTCTGGCGCGTGTTTGTTTGGCGACATTGATGGTGATGAGTGGGTGGGGTGCTCTGGTTGTCCACGGTGGTTTCACCAGAGCTGCATTTATCTTGACACCTTGACCATAGACCAGATCATCGATCTTGACTTCAAATGTCAATTGTGCTGACTATAACATGTTTTTAACACATTTCCTAACACAGTTGTTAGACAATGTTCACTGTTTGAATGTTACTCATATGTTCTCACTAATTTAATGTTAGTAGCTTGTGAGACATAAAAGACATTTAAACACACACTGATTATTATTTGTTATGTTTAAACAGATGGACTATCCGTTCGAAGTGCTGTTCAATCAACTTCATGCCTACAGTGGGCCACCAGGAATGGGAATAAATACGAATGCCCTTGAATACACAATCAGTAAAAAACCAGTTGCTGTAATTTCATGTATAACCGGGTAATTGGATTTGAAAAACATTATCAATGACACGTTTAATATCACTGTGTATCCTCAATATAAAATCGAAACATAGTTAACACTTAAGACAAACATGTAAAATTTACAGCTATTGACCAAAAAAAAAAGCTATAGACATAAAATATTGTACTAGTAGCAAGGAGACGTATGTATGTTACGTGTTTATCATGTCTACACAAAATTCACTTTTTTCCTACTTTATTATAGGTACCACATGCTTCATGTGAAACCCCTGCCATTCATGGCCTTGAAGATGGATCTTGAACCTCACAACAGGTTCGATAGGAATGCTATAAAAATCACTGTACCAGAAGCATATGAGATACCAAGCATATTCTTAGATGCTGAGGTTCGGCCAGGGCCAAATAGACAGCTTGCACGCGATATCGCTGGAGCCCTTGTCGGGCTCGTACCACAGCAATTGACATCAGTATTTGGTCCACTGTTTAGGGACAATAAAATATTAAGTATAACACCCTTTTATACGGGTAGAATGTCACACGGTGGCCTAATCAGAGGTGGAGGCCCAAAACTTGATTGTTTTTATTCGGTAGTGTAAATCTCAGTCAGACTAAGGAGTTTACAGAGTTTACGTAGATTTCATTATAAACAGCAGTTGTCTCCCTTCATATCTTATAAGTCTAGTCCAAATCGATGGGTATCGCTGTGAGTTGTTCAGTTTTCACTGTTATGTGTCCGGCTACTGCCTCTATCGCTCTAGTTGTCGCAGGATTGCTTTTGATGAAGTAAGTTTTGATTCATGCTAGATGTAATGGCAGTAGGGGTCATGCTAGTTTCAAAATGTTCTAGAACTTACTGAAAAGATGAATGCTTTAATATTTCTCCGATTACACATAACATTCAAATGAAATCGATGACTTTTTCAAGAGCGATGAATATATTTTACGTAATTTGCATATGTAAACAGCCGATGCGGGGTGTAGTGTTTCTGATTTCCCGATGTTTTCGCGTGCCGCGATAATAGAGAGTCCCAGTATAACCTGTGGGATAACTTCACACTTTACGACAGACTTATTATAAAATATAATATATGTATAACAGCTAAATAACAGCTCAGGTATATGGGATATCTGTTATAAACATTTGCTTTTAGTGATAAGTGTTTTATCCTTTTACCCATTTATTAAACATGAACTTTGTAACAGAACGTTTTCTTCTAAAAATAAAAACTAAATTTAAAATATTCTTTGCATCAATTCACAACACAGCATTTATCAGATTTTTTTAGGCACGTCCAATATCGTAGCAAATTGTGACATTAAGAATATCATTTAGAGCGTCTAAAACAGTGATGAAGGGTGTTATGATGTTTGTTCCGGAGTTCTAAGATATTGTGCAACGTGTGAGCGAAAATCGAGGGTCTCCATCGAAAATATATATTTTCTTTCTTTCACTATGATAATAAACTGGATAGCAGGACTGTAAACCATTAAGCACTATAACTGATACTTACACTTGTATCCTTTGAAATGAGAACAGTTTTTAGATAAATGTACAATATATCCACACTTCCTTGTTCCTTTCCCACGTAGTCAACCGTTTGAGAGTTGCTTCCCTTTGGCGATACAGTCCGATCTCCTCGACATTTTCCGGAAATGCTGATCTACATATCGCAGTTAGATCTAGTGTTCGTTTCCTCACGGAAAGACTCAGCGAGTAAGGAGGGAGGGGGAAATTATTTACAACTGACAAAGAATAATACAAATTTACTATACAACGAATATCAAGATATCAATTAACGTAATATTTTAATCACGGTGGAAATTATTTTACTCACGTGAACGGTTGGTTGGCAAAACGTGTCCTCGAATTCCCTCTTACGATAAAATTGTATTTCAATTCAGGATATGGATTTTCGTAAGCGTAATTGTATTTTGTATGATAAGGGCGGTTTTCGGTGCAGCATATTGTCGTGCAGCTGTGCATACTTGTATTACGTCTCTATTCTGTTCCGATATATATTTATGAAATGACTATATAGGATACAGAATAAAATAGGAGACCACATATTTATTTATCATATGGTCTCTGAAACAATCGATGTGACTTTGCAAGTGAAGTGATGTCATTACTGCCATTGGAAACTGTTCACCATTCAAGTTTTTCTTACTGATTGTATCCTGTAGACGCAAGAATGACAATTTTCCAGTAACTCGCATCAACAGGATTTTATTCTTTTCATGGGAAACAATGATGCGTTAGGCGTACATTGACAAATGTAGAATATACGTTCCACGTTGATTGTTAGCCATTGTGTGAAAGCCTAACTACATGAGTGGATGAGCGGATGAGGTTTGGAAAACTAGAATAAACAGAAACAATTTGTAATATAATTTGACTATAAAATTCTAGACAGAATATCATCGCTGAATTCATGTTCAACAACTTTGAAAACGTTTGAACATTATTTGAACACTTTCAGCAATATTGCGTGTAACAATAGCAATGTGAGGAAACTACTACGAATGAACTCCTCTAGATATCCAAGGCAGAGCTATCTTCTTCTCAAATCTTTAGACGATAATGGAAGACTTAACTGGGTGTCAGAGGTTAGATCTCTGCTCTTTTCAACAGGTTTTGCATGGACTTGGTTATCACAACAAGTTGGTGACGAGAAGTTATTTATCAGCACTTTCAAACAAAGGTTACAGGATATCTTTATCCAGGATTGGCATTTGTCTATTTCTACCTCCAGTTATCTGTCATTATACTCTGGATTTAAAACTGATTTTAACACAGAAACATATATTACTTGTCTCCAAGACAAGTCTTTGGTACGTGCATTCTGTAAATTCAGAATAGCATTGAACAATCTGAAGGTAAATGCATACAGGAAGGAGAAACAACAGTACGACTATACCATCTGCTGTGAACATTGCATGGATCTCAACATCGAAGATGAAGTTCACGTACTATTTTCCTGTCCAAAGTATTCTGTACTTCGAATGAAATATTTACCTTGGTTAACTTCTGTTGTGCCAAACAAATGTAACTTCATCAAACTTATTTCTTCACAAAATCCTCAAACAATCAAATTAATATCATTATATTTGAAGCATGTATTTAATCCACGCCGTTCTTAATTATAAGTTGTGTTTATTATATAACATCCACGTGACAAACTATAATATTCTGCTGTAATTGTACCTTAGGTCATAAGGCCTGTAGTATTGAATAAACTAGTCTAGTCTAGTCTAGTGAGGCCATGAACTTCAACAAAGAAGACTATTAAACATTATATTCTATATTTAATAGAATTAAACAGTAACAGTGAGATAATAAAGATGCACGACTCACATTAATTGTGTTCCTGTGTGCTACGTTGAGATTTAAGTCAGAAGAGACCTCTTGACAGTATGGAGGCTGCTAACACACTGAAGCATGGGGTCCCAGTTCCACATGTGCTTTTTCTGGTCACATGACAGGAAAGTGGTAGTATGGGATATGAAACATAACTTAAGAAATCTGCAAAGGTTTCTGTTGAAAGCTGAGCTTGAACCCTAGATGGCTGGTTTACTAAAAAGGTTGATAGATATCTGTCACTGGTATGAAGTTACAGCTGCACTGTGATACGTAGGCAGTACAGATTAAGAAAAACATTTATGATGCATATGAAAATTATGTGATAATACCTGCATGAGAATGAATCAGTATGGTTTTACGCCGCTTTTAGCAATATTCCAGCTATATCACGGCGGGGAACACCAGAAATGAGCTTCACACATTGTACCCATGTCCCGGGTCTTCGGCATGACGAGCCAACGCTTTAACCACTAGGCTACCCCACCGCCACAATCTGCATGAGAAAATTGTACACAGTATATATCAACTATATGGATCTTGCATTAACATATGCCTAAGTTGAAACAAAAGAATATGCAATAGATTTACCAACGTTCCAATGCAATTCAGATCTGGACTGCATGACAGCTGTGAGCAAATAATCGACTCTGGACCCCATTTCAGAAGGCTATCGTAGCGCTCCGACTGTCGTAAGTGTATGTGACAGTATAGGGGGTAAGTCTATGTTAATAATAATAATGGAATGCGACTTCGAGACAAGCTCCAGAATGCCCAAATTCATGACAAACTTCAGGCCGAGTACAAATCTCGCTTAACGAAAATCTGGAGCTGAGAGCTAAATGCTCGAAACAAGGTCAAAGCTACCAATATTTCTGCTGTGACAGTCCTTCCCTATTCCTTTGGAAATGTTGATTGGACAAACCAAGACATCTTGACAAGAGTCTTGACCGCCTGACCAGAAGGATCATGTCTGATAACAGAGCACACCACCCTCGTTCCTCTCTCAACCGTTTACATATGCTAATCAATTCTGGAGGTCGGGGTTTGATTAATGTGGAGGCTCTTCATGGTAGAATTGTATTGTGTACTTTTGCACATATTTATTTATCGGATGATCCTCTAGTGATGCATGTAAAGACTCATGATGAAAGCAAGGAATTCCGCAGTCATTTTAAGCGTGCCAAGGTTGTTGGACAGAATCTGAAATTTGAGGTTGATTTTGCTGATGGCAATGTACTGCTGGACGGTACAGCGATGGGAGTAAACCAGGTGAAGTCCTTCACCAAGTCTGCCCAGAGTCGGTCATTTGTGGAGAAGCTTTCTGAGAAACCATTGCATCGTGTGTACATGCAGTGTGTGGAACAGAATAGCAATCCAACCGACTCCTTTGCCTGGATGAAGTCGGCTGGTCTTAAATGTGAAACTGAGGGCTTCCTTTTTGCTGTTCACGACCAGTCACTTCCCACTCGCAATCGCCTATATGTGATTCTTAAAGAGAATATCAATATAAAATGTCGACTATGTAATGAATTTACAGAGACTGTCCAACACCTTGTCAGTGGATGCCCTTTTTTGGCACAAACAGCATATCTTAAACGACATGATGACATGGCTCGTTGCTTTTACTACCGTCTCCGCCATGTCTGTGGCTTTGACTCCGAGGTCCATCCATGGTACGACCCTGAACATGTCCAGGGCGTCATGGAAAATGATGCTTTCAAATTTCTGTGGAATAGACCCATATACAGCCTCAGATGAATTCCTGCCAACAAACCTGATCTTGTCTTGTTTACTCCCATCGCCATCCATTTTTATAAAGCCAATGAATTTATTTATATCAATGAATTTTCTGTCTTTTTGACAGCAATTTGATTGGCAAGATTCCGGAAAAGCATGATAAATATGCGGACCTCGCCTTTGAAATGTCTCGCTTGCATCTCAAGTACACTGTCGTCAGACTCCCAATTGTTCTCGGTGCCCTTGGTTTGGTACCTCCTGATCTCTTGGCGCAGATCAGGAGAGTGCCCGGGTTCTCCACCGGGAGCACAGCCCTTCTGACACTCTGGGTAATGCAAAAGGCTGCAGTGTTGGGGAGCCTTCATATTCTCCGAAAAGTTCTTGGTGGGTTCGACTAGGCAGTGTTTCCTGGGAGAAGTCCCATTCGCTGTCTGGGCTGGATGAAGAAAGTGGATCGAATTTGTACAAATTTGGTGTGCTAGGTTTCTGACTTGCCCGCTTGCCTAAACATGTGATGTACTCGAAGGATGTTCCTGAAATTTTGTCTGGTTGAGTTATTATTTTGGAAAATTTGTTTCTTTGTTTTATTGTGAGAGCCCCCGACCACACTTCATGGAAAAACAAAGAACACTTTGGATAAACGTTTTGTAAAATAAAACAAACGTGGATGTGCTAACATTGAACGATCTAAGGTTTCTCAGAATGTACAGCATAGAATTACAGTAGAGGTACGACTGTCGCAGCGCTACGATAGCTTTGTGAAACGGGACCATGGCCAAAACAAAACAGAACTTTATTACGCTCAGGCCGATATCCTCGGCATGAGTAACTGAGTGAGTTAGTATGGTTTTACGCCGCTTTTAGCAATATTCCAGCAATATCACGGCGGTGGACACCAGAAATGGGCTTCACGCCTTGTACCCATGTCGGCAATCGAACCCGGGTCTCCGGCGTGACGAGCGAACGCGTTAACCATATAGGCTACTCCGCCGCCCTCTCGGCATATGAGGTGCAAATGACAATATATGATAATATAATGGCGGCATAGTAGTTCGCCGGAAGATTTGACAATTTGTATGATATATTAACAGAATTTACTGAGCTTTTTCATAACATATATCTTTTTACATGTAAAGAGTGATTTAAATTTTAACATATTTGGTTTTTTATAAAGGAAGCTGGTATATACACTGATCTTTCTTTTGTAATATGTGTACATTTAAAAATATAACTACACTCATCATCCACATCATTCATACAATATTGTTTACACTTGACAAACCAGTGACTGATATTATGAGCAAGTTACTGTCGGGGTACGTAGAATTAATATAACCAGTTCGGCTAAACAAGTCGCCTCTTACGAACAACACAGCTTACTTAAGACTAGTTGCAACCTTAAAGTAACATCATAACGTTTTCGTGGCTATCAGAACGTAACTACACTTAAATTGTATACCTGAGTATTATACTTTGCATATAGGGCGCGATAGGGTAGCCCAGCGGTTGA